CTTTATTCTTAAGTTGCACAAGTCTATTTTTAGAAAGGATTTCAATTATGAGGATTAAAAACGAGTGGTGTCAACCATAGGAGTTAAACCATAAGTGAACTAGAAAACGCAGCTGCAGGGGGAGCCGAGGGCCAGCCTTCCTCCGGCCACAGTGCATGTGAGGTCCTTGGAGCAGGTGGTGAGGGGCACCGGCATCGTGCATTGTCACCCCCTGGGGAGTAGGGCGGATCCAGCTGACGGTGCACAGTGCCTCCTGGTGCAAGGCCAGACTTTTCTCAGAGCCCGTGCTGGCTGGGAAAAGATAGGCACCCCGGTAAGCAAGCCTGCTGAGGCTCGGGGAGGAGAGCGGGAGTAGTTGCCTTTGCCCACCAGGCTCTTAGCATACTGTTTAAACTAAAAGTACCCTCGCTCATAAATCATCAAATACAGGCCCAGGGGAGCTTTAAAGCACAGCCCCTCGATTGAAGCCACACGTTTTACCAAACCACACCTGGGCCGAAGAGTATTGAGGCTTTTGAAGACCTTATAAAAATGTCCCAACTTGCTTATCACATGCTTATCTTAGACGCACCAGCTCAGCTGAGGGGTGACTGCCTAGTTGATGGGTCAGCTTCCTGTGTCCAGGTCCCTGACCTGATACTACCTGTAGTCTTAAAATAAGGTAACTTTGCCGCAGAAAACCTCAGCCAACAAGGGAGCCCCAGAGGGGAGCTGGGCTGCCAGGATCCGCCTCCTGGCAGCCAGCAGTGTAAGCCCTGCATTCAGTGCGGCCTCCCCCAGCCCTGCTGGGTTAGGATCCAGTCACTCCTGTCCGCGCTGGGCATCTCCTCAGCAACCACCCCCTTACCACGCACAGAAGAAAGATCTCTGCGAGGAAACGCGCCGCGGGGGCTGGAGGCAGGGAGATCGCCCACCTGGCTCGCACAGGTAGTTTGCCGAGGGCCACCCTTAATGGACAGGTGACTCCGTAGTATTGCAGGACACTTGCAAAGCTCCTCTCCCCAGAATGTGTCCCAAACTCAGGGGTCACAAATCCCATCGCTGATGAGTCACTACCTAGGCGAAGCACAGCCTCCTATCTTTCTTTGTTACGTTAATCTTTATTTTTATTTTACTTGAAAATACATGTCTGTGGTTTTAAAGTCCACTAGTACTGAAAGGCCAGGCTTTGTCCCTTCTGCTCCACACCTCACAGCTCAGAGGCAGCTGCTGTCATTCAGCCTCCTCTCCTGGAGGCCCCGCCGTGGTTCTAAAGACTGTGTGTACGGTGCGATCTTTCTGTTCAGTTTGGCCCTCTTCTTTGGAGATGAGGTCTCGCTCTCTGACTTCCCCTCCCATGTCCCCTGACCCAGTGGGACTGACAGAGACACCCCCTGAGGAAGACTCTGTAAATGTTGTTCAAGGCTCTTGCCTGGGCCGTTCCCAGCCAGGAGGAGAGCCTTTGAGGGAGACGAGCTTTCACAGTGAATCCACTAGGGTCCATGGGGCTCCCTCTTGGACTGGGTCAGTAGGAGGGCAGGAGGAGAGGTCGGGCTGTTGACTCCCCTGCTTCCCTCCTGGGCCGTAATTTGACAGCAGCTGCTCATCTACCAAAGCCCTCCTCCTCCTCCTCCTGTCCAGCACCTCCCTCCTGCAGCTCAGCTCCCCGCATCCTGCTACCTGCTCACTCCCCTGGCCTCTTCAGGCCTCGGGTGCTAACAACTCCCTGATGTTGCTAGCCTTGCGGGGGAGGGGCATTTCCTCATTAAGTTCCCTGTGACCTGCCAGAACTTATGTCATAGCCCTGAACTAGATTAAATAGTGTTCCCCTTCCAAAATTCATGTCCTTCCCGGAACCTCAGAATGGAAGGTACCTTATTTGGAAATTAGGGTCATTGCAGATGGCATGAGTTAAGTTGAAGTCCTACTGGAGTAGGGTGCGCCCTAAATCCAACATGACCAGTGTCCTCGTAGGAGGGGAGACACAGACACACAGAGAAGATGATGTGAATGCAGGCATGCAGGAATGTGCCATGTGATGACAGAGGCAGATAAGAGTGATGCATCTAAAGGGCCAACCCCAGTGGCCTAGTGGTTAAGTGCAGCACGCTCCACTTCGGCGGCCCAGGCTGGGTTCCCAGACACAGCTTATACCACTCTTCTGTCAGTGGCCATGCTGTGGTAGCGGCTCACATACAAAAAGAGGAAAATTGGCAGCAGATGTTAGCTCAGGGCAAATCTTCCTCAGCAAAACAAAACAAAACACCAAGGATTGCCAGCAACACCAGAAGCTAAGATAAAGGCATGAACAGATTCTTACCTGGAGCCTCCAGAGGTAGTGGCCCTGCCAGCACCTTGATCTCAGACTTCTGGCCTCCAGAAGTGTGCAACCATAAATTCCCGTTGTTTTAAGCCGCCCAGTTTGAGGTACTTTGTCATGGCAGCCCCAGGAAGCGAATATAGCCCCTTCCTCACGCTCACACCAGTGTGCCTTTGAGTGGACCGGCCTGTTCTAGCCACAGGCCTTCTGCTCTGTGAACTCTTCAAAGGCGAAGGCACCTTGTTGACGCTGAGGCCTCAGTGCCCGGCACAAGGCCGGCCCCCACAAGCACCCGGTAAACGTCTGGTGGCTAAGAGGGAAGGTGCCTATTCTGTTCTGTCTGTTCCTCTTTTACGGAAATAAAATCAAAACAAATTCAAAGCAAGCCTGGAAGTTTCCAGGTGAAGCAGAGGCCCACCCAGGCAGATGCGCTCAGCTGGCAGCCCCAAGTCTGGGACCCTGGGCTCATCTCTCTGGAGCCTGGCCATCAGCTGTGTCAGCAACAGCCCAAGGGCACACCTCCACCATCCTGGCGCACTTTGTCATGATTTTGAAACACTGGATATGAAAAGTTCAACTGGACTGGAAACTCATTCAGTTCTCACAAGAAATTTTAGCATTACAGGTCAGGGAAAGAAAAGGAAGACTTGTTAGATTATTTAAATATAATTTCAACTGTTGTAAACTTTGTGTGATTGTACAAAACGGCTTTAAAGTTATCTACTTGCACAAAGAAAGTGTCTCGATGGTGGCACCCCGCTTGTCCCCTCTGTCCTGAGCTTGTGTGCAGTGGTTTCAAGCCTAAAACCTGGAATGTTCATCGAAGCAATCACGTCTTCATTCCAGAATGGGAACTGTTTTATTTGGAGGTTTTGCACAAGTTTACTATCTCCCATAATTCATTTTAAAAATGTTTCTTATAATCATATAAAAGATAAACATAAAACTATTATTTTATAAAAAGATTAATATTTTAATCTTTTTGTAAAATTAAAAGATTAATATTTTCAGCAAATATTATTTTTCTGTGTGAGAAAATGTGAAAAATGTCACGATCCCCTCTACTGTGTCCTTCTGCATTCGTTCCTGCAGTTCAGAAACATGGATGAGTGCCTCCAGGCTCGACCCCAGGTGAGGGGCCAGGACGTGGAGTTAGAAATCACTAGGACCAACTCACGGCAGTGAGTCAAGATAAAGAGGTTTCTACAGTGCCCCAGAAATGCAGCAAAGACTCCCTGAGAGAAGGAGAAGAATCGGCTCTTGAAGGGTTTTCATCCGGAATGACGGACCCGATCTGCCCTAGGAAGGCGACTGGAGGCAGCTGGGAGGGGGGGTGTGTGAGGAGAGCCTGGAAGTGGGCAGAGTGAGCACCGGAGGAGGTGACGTGGAGAGGTGAGGGCCAGACAGGGCTGGTTTAGGGATCACCAGGAATGGAAAGTTAGGAAAGGGAGAAGGAACTGGTCAAGACAGGAGGTCCTCGGAAAGAGACCGGGAAAGTCAGGAGGCCCAAGGCCACCTCACTTGCAGGATGGGGCACCCAGCAGATGTCCTGTGGCTGAACCCTGGGGCCACAGTGAGGCTGGCAGGTGTCCTTTCCGCATGGAGAACGCTTCTCGGAAGCCTAAAAACGTGGTGCATTTGACACTACCCAACTCAGCAAACAGAAAAGGCTATCAGGTGTTCCGGAAATGGAACAGGGCCCCAGGGGGGAACTGTGAGGCCTGGCACGGGAGGATGAAGCCTTCTCCAGGCTGGCCTGAGGGGTGCCGGGTGGGGCCGGTCTCTACGCCTGCCTGGGTGCCCATCCAGACCTCTTTGGTCATTTACAGCTGGCCTTGGATTGGTTTTAGCCTCAGGCGTTGTTTCTACCAGGGGCAGCCTTCCTGGAATTTCTTTTACAAAATGTGTTTGCTGCCTCACGCTGCTTTTCTGGGAGGTGCTCTTCTGGGAGTGGGGCCCCTGGGCTGGCGTTGGATGCTGCGTGTCTACTGTGGGTGCTCTGCGGGGACCCCTAGGAAAATAACCAGGCCCGTCTCTGGGGCTACCCGAGGTCAATTTTTGGCAAGAAGTGAGAGTGCGATTCGCAGGTGGATTATTCCTGGGGTGAGATGGGAACTCTCTGGTGGCACCAGCAAGAGTGCCTCGATGCAGGTGACCTGGCCAGGCTGGGCTGCTCCAGCTTAACCACGTGAGCTGTATTGTCACACGCCTACAGGTGTGATAATAGATGGTTCCACTTAGCTGTGGGCCCCATTTTCACTTAAGAGAATGCTGGTTTCGTGATCCTGACCCTCGAGAAGGAGCGCTAGGAATAAAGGCCCTCTTTAGCGCTGGTCCTTCCTGGGGGCCGCATCACTTTGCTGCTGTTGGGTAAGACCTACCTTGAGGACAAAGGGCCCTTGGGGAGCTCCCCGTTGGCCAATAGAGAACATGCCAGTAAATGCCGGTGCGCCCGCCGGCAGGTGCAAGGACACAGGACCGCCCAGAATTCTGAGCGGGCGATGGCCTGGGGGCCCCAACAGCCGGTAGGCGGGCAGCACCACTCCGCGTGGGGGCGCCCCCGCCCGCCATCCCCAGGGCTCTTAGGGACCTGCGAGCGCGCCGGGCCGGGAGGACCCCAGGAAGACGCGGGAGGCCGGCGCAGGGGATGAGCGGGAGGGGGAGGGGCCGAGCCGCCCGCCGCCGACCCGCGGGCCGCAGGAAAGTGAAAGGGGCGGCGGGGCTGGCGGGGCTGGCGGGCCTCGCGGGCCTCACGCGCCGCCCCAGGAAGTCGCGAGCAGGAAGCGCCCGCGGCGGCCGGCCCGGCGGTGGTGCGCGGGCCTGGGCGGCGCAGGTGAGGCGCGGGCACGGGGACTGGGACCGGGACGGGGACCGGGCGGGGGAAGCGGCGCAGGGACCCTCCCCACCGCCGGCACCTGCGGGGCCGCGAGACTCGGGCGGCGGGACCGCGCAGCACCTGCCGCCGCGGGCGACGATAGGGGCCGCCGGGGGGCGCCCGCTGCCCCGCGCTGGAGGGGCGCCGCGCCTGCCGGGCCGGGGGTCGCGCTCCGCGGGCTGCTGCTCCTCCGCGCGGCTTTGTGCGGGCCTGCGGCCGGGCCGGGCGGTCTCGAGCCCCTCGTGCCCTAGGGAAGCCTTTGGAATGAGGGGGCTCCAGGAGCGGCCGGGCGCCCCCGCCGGCGTCCCCGGACCGGGCGGCGCGGGATTCCGGGCAAGTGGAGGCGGGGGAGCCGCGCTGGGCCGGCAGCCGGCCGCTGGAGCCGCCCGCGCCGCGGTGACAGCCCGGGTCCAGAGACCCCGCAGGAACAGCCCCGCGCTCTCGGCCGCGCCGGGGCCGTGGGCGTGCCCGCCCAGCCCGTCTCCTCCGGGCACCAGCCGCCCGAGGCTCGCGGCGCCAGCACCCTGGGCCTCTGGGTTGTTTGTTGAGCAGCTGGTTCCCGGAGACAGTGAGCCTCCTGGGCAACACGAGTGACAGCGACTTCTGGATTTATAGGGCTTAAAGCGCCGGAAAGTGCCCCAGCCGGTCGCCACCAACCATCGGGATCTTTTTCCTCCTTCTCCCACCCTCCTGCCCTCCCAACCCCTGCGGCCACGCTGCCGATCCTGGTGACCCGGTGACCGAGGCGGTTTGGTCAGGATTTGCATCTGAGCCGAGGATTCGGGCAAGTCCCTCACCCCACCCCCAGGTTTGAATTTCTAAAGCTGGAATGCCAGACTGCCTTTCCTGTAGCCTCCCAGAGCCCACTGCCTGTGGAGCGTCCGCCTGCCCTTGAACTTAAGCCAGCGAAGTCGCTTGAGTCGGTAACTGTATTAGATTTCCCCCATTGCTCCTTCATTAATTTAGATGGAGCTGGAAGCCCAGGGCTCTAGACCCTGGCTGTTTCACCATGCAGTTTTGGAGCTGCATTTGCAGGGTCTATCTTGTGCAGACCATTTTTGCCGTTCTGTTTGTCGGCGGAAAAAGGACAGTGGTACAGACAGAGGATTCCCTTTCCTATTTAAGCCACAGGAAGGGGATAGTGGCCATTGCCATTAATCTAAACCATAGGAAGTGTTTTCTCTGGAAATGAAGTTGTACTCTCTCTCTCTCTCTCCCTCTCTCTCTCTATTTCTCTCGGCAAAAAAAAAAGTATGAAAACTTTTTGGGAGACATGGGTTTCCCACCCATCTTAGCCTTAAAATAAGATCCACTTTAAAAACTTTGTCGGTTATTTAAAATATGCATGATGCTGCTTTGATATTTACAGTGGCGCTTCAGTTCTGGAAACACCCTTTCCATGTTATTTTTGCCATCACTTTCAAGTCTCATTATTTTCGTCTCCAAAGAGTACACAGATCTGTTGGAGGCTGACAGACCACCAAGTGGTGGGTCTGAGGGTGGGGCTGCATGATGCACGGGGCCCTCCAGTCGTTCTGTTTTGTAGATGACTAGGTTGTGCTTTTGGGGAAGATGGGTATAAAGGCATGCGTTTTACAGATTTAATGGAGATGCTGTAAGGGGTGTTTCTTAAATTACTGTCTTTGACGGTAGTATGATACCAGATACTCGGACACTTTTCCCTGCTGGGGTGGTGAGTTCCAGAGGTGCCTATAAAGATCGTTTTTTTTTTTAAAGTGTGTTTTCTTTTTATGTACTTGGGCTGTGTGCCAAAAACAGGGTTTAGACCAAGTGATTTGCTGCCCTTCTGCTGCCCTCTCTTTGGAGGGGATAGGCTGGAAGGAGAGAGATGGGAAGGAGGAGGGGACTTAGGGAAACTGGACCGACCTGAATTTGCCCCAGAGTTGAGCTGACCGGCGAGCCACCTACCCCATTGTTCTCTGAAGTGCACCCTGCCTCTTCTCCAGGGTGGTCGTGGGGTTCACAGGAGAGCACGTGAGTCGTCACTGGTGACAGGGAGGTCTCGACCAGCTCTCGTGAAAGCGTTGTCAGTGGGCACTGCCCAGGCATTGGAGGAAGGGGCCTCATTAAATAGAGCTCTTAACACCTTTCATGTAAAATCGCTCTTTATCCATCTTGATTGCACCCACGATGGGAATTTATGGTGCTTACCTTCACCCATTTTAGAGGGGGAAGAACCCGCCTTGTTGTAAAAGGAAATAGAGATTTCTCCAGCTGATTTTCCAGTGCCTTCTGGATTTTTTTTCCTGTGGTTACAGGTTTTGCCAGAATTGAATTGAGATTTGTCGGTTAATTGATTCAGTAGGTGGCAATAGAATATTTCCAGACAAGCTGTGCCTAGAGCAGCAGTGTTTGGACAGAGGAGGAAATTGGATCCTGCCCGTCCGTTTCCACGCATTGTAAAATCTAAACCAAGTCTTCTCTCTGAAGTCATCATCGCAAAATTATTCCTTGAGGTACATTTAGGCCCAAACAGGAGCCCACTCATTCTGAGCAGAGATTTAGTAAAATATTTTTTTAAATCTAGGGATTTGAGCAAAATCAGTTTTGAAGCATTTGTGGAAATTCATTCAACACCCTTGAGCACTTGCTCTGTGCTGGGTTCTGAACTAGGAAACGGGAGTGGGGCGGTCACCTGCAGCCCTTGGCCTTCCTCTCCCGAGGCCACAAGAATGGTACCAGCTGCTGTTCACTGCGCGTCTCTCATACCAGGCTCGGGGCTAAGGGCCCTCCATGGGTTCTCTCAGTTCCTCTTTATGACAACGCTAAAAGATAGGGGTCACCACCTCTATTTTTTAGCCAGGGAAGGTGAGGGAGTGGAAAGTTTAAGCGACATGCCCAGGATTACCCAGCCCGAGGTCAGCTGTGGGGGCAGGTGGAACTCACATCTGTGTCAGGAGCAGAGGTGTGGTTCTGGCTGGAGAAGAGGGGCCCCACTGCCTCCCTGAGAGGAGATGCAGGGTGGGGAGTTCTGGGAGGAAAGCTCAGCAAGAACTTGGAATGTTTTCCTAAAAGTTAGTATTGAAAAAGGAGCCTCTTTTGAGCGCTCGCTCTGGAGGGAGGGCAGGAGTGAAGGTGGGGCACCCCTTCTAACTGAGAAGACACGGGCACGTAGGAATATAGTTTAAGTCTCCACATCTGAATGATTTTCTATACGTGTCTATTACTTATCCCAAGGAAGTTGTTGGAAAACGTTCAATAAATTTTAGCTTCTTTAAATTGAGATTGTCTACTCAAAAGTAGCTTTCTTCAAAAAATTACATAACCTGGGAATTTCCGTAAGTATTCAGGTAGAACAATCCATGCTCCTGCACACTGGGTACTGTGGTATTTAATGTATTGATCCAAAACATTTCTTGTCGCCAAGCTTAAAAGGTAACTGAAAAATAGCATAAGTGTGAGGTTGGCTTTGGGACAGGAGACTGGTATGCAGAGGCCCCTTATTGGCTCCAAGCCCTCTCTGCCCATTCCTTCCTGTCTTGCTCTGCCTTCAGCCCTGCCTTCAGATGGGAGTCATTTTCCATGACCTGTGAGGTGACCACAGGAGATGAGAAATGAAGAGGCAGATACAAGGTGAAGTTCACTCCCACAGCATTAGATGCTCTTCGATTCAATTGCAAAGCCACAATTAAATGCTTGGTTTGATGACCTGCCGTCTTGTGCAGCCCTGCACTCCTCCCTGTTACTGTGGCTCAGACATGGCCTGGTCCACAGTGGGTGGAACTGACCCCGTCCAGTCCCTGGCGTGTTCTGGTCAATGAGCACATGGTGTAACCACTGGGCACATACTTGGTTTCATGTGCATATTGATATTAGTTCTGCAGAGTATTGTGGTTAAGAGTGAATGGTTGATCTCTAGATTCCGTCCAGGTGCGGATGAAATCAGTGCTTCATCATCAGTGATGGTCATCAGAACGTCATGTGAAATTCATCCCAGTGACCTTTCAGCTGCCCGAGGCAGACCCTCTACTTCCGCCTGGTGGCTCTAAGGGCAGGAGCTCCCTGTTGCACTGGATATCCAGCTTTGATCTGGGCTGAGTAACAGCCATACAGGGAGTTACTTCTGCCAGGGACTTCGACAGTGCCACTATCAGAACACCTCACTTTTTAACTCCCTCTTCTCCTTGTAGAGAACTGAGTCTCTGCCGGATGGAAGAGGGGAAGAGGGGAACCGAGACCAAACTGGACTTCTCTATGCACTTTCCAGCCTGTGTGAGCTGCAGGGGCAAGAGGGAGAGACTTGGAGCCAGATTCGTAACCTCTTTATGAAGCATCCTATTTCGTGACGGAAGCTCCGTGGTCAGTGTGACGTAAATGGCTCGACTCCCCGTCGGCATTCGCTTCATTGTCTCATTCTCCCGAGACCAGTGGTAAGTCCTGGCAGGTCTGTCCCTTGGTGGTGGGTGAGGGCCACCGTGCAGCCGGCTCCCCGCCCCCAGTTTCATTATAAGGCACACGTGGATGACTGGCCTCCCCGTGACTGTCGATTGCCTGTCGGTGGTGGAAGCTGTGTCCAGGAACATTGCTGAGTTGTCCATCTTTGCTTCTGGTGGTGACGGATAGCATTTGGACTCTTTTGTGCTCTTCAGTGGTTTCTGTAATAATCATGGTTCCCCACAGAAAAATGACTGCTGATTACTGGCAGGACTGTAAAATGGCTGTGGGTGAAATAAGTGTATTAATTCTGAGCTCAGTGAGTGGCCTTGCTGGGGCAGAACTTTCAGAGGGAAAATGAAATCTAAACAAGTTAGATGCAGACCAGAACGCCACTTTCCGAGAGCACCATTCCTTGCGTGCTCTGAGCATCCTTCTCAGGGTGGATTCATGAATCCCACACTTCTTGGAGGAAGCAGATGGCAAGAGCGGAGTCTCGAGCTGGGATCTCTGGCCTCTAACCCACTCTCTGACTGCTTTCTCTCCCCAGCTGATCTCTGTTGGAAGGATCAAGTTTCCCCTACACTATTAGGTTCAGTCATTGGGAGCATGCAATTTAAACTGACAAAAAACAGATTCACAAGAGAAAAGACAGATTTAATCATGTATGTATGGGAGTTCACAGAAAACTGTGACTCAAATAATTTGGGGCTTATATGCCATTTTACAAGGGAAGAGGAGGAAGAGAAGGGTGTTTATGGGAAAACAATGACTTTTTGGAAAGTTAAATGGACACTTAGGAGAACAGATGGGAGATGTGCTGGGGTGTGACAGTGTCTCTTTGGTGTGGTGTGCATGCTTCTCACTTCTGGGGAGAGGAGCCGTCTCCCCCAGTTGCTCCCAAGGAGGGATTGGTGACAGCTGAGCTCTTTCAGGAGGCTCTGCTCTAGGCAGGGAAGAGATTGCAGGAACTGATGCTTTCTGCTCAAAGTAACTTTTATGCCACAGTGGCGTATTCTGGACCCCTTCATCATGACAACCCACTGGTGGCCTGCGTGCCCTGTGCAGCTCCTCAGGCCCTTGCAGTTTGGTGGAGCCCCGACAGGGTCTCAAGTGTGACTTCAGACATCTTCTCTCCAGAGGTGTCCCCTGCTGACAGCTCATGTACTGCTAAACCAGCCGCAAGTGCTCCGGAGCGTCCCTTTTATTTAGAGGGAGTTCCCTTTAGCTTCTTTGTCTGTTTCGTAACTTTATTTTGATACAGTTTTCATACTCACAGAAGAAAATTGTAAGAATGTTACAAAGAACTCCTGTATATCGCTGGTTCTTTTTTTTTTGAGTCTGAGACCTACAAAGATAGAGCAGCACTTCTCAAACTTTCGCGTGCATGTGACTCACCCTGAGAACTTGTTAAAAAGCAGATTCTGACTCAGTAGGTCTGGGGTGGCGCCTGAGAACCTGCATTTCCCAAGAGATCTGTTGCCGCAGGCCCATAGACCACACTTTGGGTAGCAAAGATATAGAGCATTTGTCTTAATTTCTGTTCCATCTCTGCCTCAAACTTGCTCTTTGACCTTTAAAAGTTATTTAACCTTTCTAGATCTCAGCTTCCTTAGCTATAAAAGAAGAGAATGGCTCTAGCATTCCTGTGAAGGATGTTTTTAGGCTTTTCTACTCAGCATGCACTGCCCCTTCTAGCAGCACTTTGGTTTCTTTGGGGAATCGACTTCCTCCCTGTGTGCAGAGTGACAGGCAGGTGAGCCTCAGGACTCTCCGTCCCACTGTGGCAGCCGCCGGGGGCCCTTGAGGCTGCATCCCCGTGGCCTGCCCTGTACAGCGCAGGTCCCACAGGAGGCAGGCCAGGACCTAAGGCAGGCCAGCCGCTGGTCTCTCTCCCGCGACGTCGAGTCTTGAGGAGGGTGGACCTGGCCAGAGGGCTGTTGAAATGCATCGAGTGCAGCTGTGGGGCCCGGCTCCGCTGGCAGATTCTTAACATTTTGCCTCATTTGCTTCTCCTTCCACCCTCTCTCATCTGTGTGTATGTGTGTGTAGATGTGAGTATTTATATGTACACACACACATTTTTTCTGAGCCATTTGAGAATAAGTTGCATTATTCTTTTATTATTAATATACATATTCTTTTTTTTTTTTAAAGATTTTATTTTCTTTTATTTTTATTTTTTCCTTTTTCTCCCCAAAGCCCCCCGGTACATAGTTGTATGTTCTTCGTTGTGGGTCCTTCCAGTTGTGGCATGTGGGACGCTGCCTCAGCGTGGTCTGATGAGCAGTGCCATGTCCGCGCCCAGGATTCGAACCAACGAAACACTGGGCCGCCTGCAGCGGAGCGCGCGAACTTAACCACTCGGCCACGGGGCCAGCCCCAATATACATATTCTTTTATTTACACATTTACATGATGCCCTTTTATTTCTAAATACTTCAGCATGTATTTCCTGTGAACAAGACATTCTCATATAACTATGCACAAAGATCAAAATCAGGAAATTTAGCACTGATACAATACTATTATCCACAGGCTGTATTCAAAATTGTATCAAATGTCCCATAATGTCCTTCATAGCTCTGTCCTGGCCCAGGATCCAGCCCAGTGGCACACGTTACATTTAGGCGTCCTGTGGGTTTAGTGTCCTTTAATCTGGAGCTCTTTCTTGGCCCCTCTCTGCCTTTCATGACCTTGACATTTTTGAAGGATACAAGCCGTTTCTTTTATAGACTGTCCCTTGTTTTGGGTGTGTCTCGTATTTCCTCATGTTAGATTCAGATTATGCATTTTTGTCAGGAATACCCGAGAAGGGAGGCAGCTTCTCACTGATGGTGAAGGGATTACAGATATTGGGGGGGGGGGGGGGGCAACATGACACTGAATGAATCATATGGTGTTAGATTGGAATTAAAGATGTCTTCAAAAACTAGAGAGAAACGCAGAAGAGATATATGTGGGGGGTGTGTGGGTGTGATATGTGTGTCAGATGCCCATCCCCCCCACTGAGAGGCCCTGAGAGCAGCAGCAGCCCAGCAGCAGCAAGCACACCTGGGGCCAGATCTTGGTTTCCAGGTGCCGTTTCCCACTGCAGGGGCCCTGCGTCCTTGGAGACTGGGCTGATCTCAGGACTGGGGCAGGGAAGGTGAGATGAGCCTGGAATATCCTGTGCCAGAAAATAAGGAAGTGCTTAAAGATGAAGGCGTTGTCACTGGCCAAATCTGGGAGGATGTGAGACTTAAAATAAACAATACTGGAAATGAGTTATAGCCTATTGAATAAATAAGAATGCAGTGAGTCCACGCTGCTCTAATTAACTAAATGCGTAAATGGGAGAAAGGAGAGCTCTTCCCCACAGTCGGTGCCAGCTGCCAAGCAGGGCAGGAGTGCTCAGTGGAAACACGGCCTTCTGAGGCCGTCAGAGGAGTGCTGATTTCAGGAGAGGATCGTCAAAGGACACCCACTATTGGGGGAAACCTGGAGGGTTTCCACATAGTCTCCATGTCCCCACAAGTTCCTGGTTAGTTACTGAGAGGGAAAAATTGTAGCTTCACTGAGGGGACAATCTGGCAGATGGCACCTTAACCAACTTATCAGCGCTAATGTCACTGACACCGTCTGCCTCCCCTAGGATGCTCTGAAAAGGGCCCACGTCACAGCTGTGTGTGGTTTCATTGTTGCTAAATTTAAGGATGTCTTTGGACTAATTTCTATGCCAAATCATACTACTCAGTAACTCTCATCTAAAACATTTGTTTATTCCTTATTTGCATATGACTGAGATAAATAACAGTCAAACAAGGCAACAGATACTCTGTCTTGAGTCTCTAGCTGGGAGCTGACTGCTGTTCATCTGGGAACATGTGTGATATTCAAGAGTGTTTCTAAGGGAGCTTTGCAGGTGCACAGCTGTCCTGTGCTGTCATTGCCCAGACAGGCTTCTTTTGCTGGTAACTTGGGGTTAACCCAAACCCTATCCTTACGATATTGGTAGATGCCAAGAATGCTGCAGTTAGACGTAACTATGAAAAGTAAGTGGCGGGCCGGCCACATGGCCAAGTGTTCATGCACGCTGCTTCGGCGGCCCAGGGTTTCACTGGTTCAGATCCTGGCTGTGGACCTAACACTGCTCATCAGGCCATGCTGAGGTGGCATCCCACATAGCAAAGCTGGAAGGACCTACAAGTAGAATATACAACCAGGCAATGGGGGGCTTTAGGGAGAAAGGAAAAAAAAAAAAAAAAAAGGATGTTTGGCAACAGATGCTGGCTCAGGGCCAATCTTTAAAAAAAAAAGTTAGTGGAACACTGATGAATGAAAGATCAGATAGTTCATTTTTAATTGTGTTTATTTAATACTCACAAGCCTACATGTAACACAAGACAAAAAGTATTGGATTGTATTAGTTTCCTGGGGCTGCTGTAACAAAGTACCACAAACTGGGTGGCTACAGACGTTTCTCTCTGGTGGTGCTGGAGGCCCAGAGTCTGAGCTCAAGGTGTGGGCAGGGCCATGCTCTCTGAAGGCTCCAGGCAAGGGGCCTTTCTCGCCTCTTCTAGCTTCTGGTGGCTGCTGGCATTCCTTGGCATTCTTTGTCTTGCTCTGCCTCCATCATCACATGGTCTTCCTCCCTGTCTGTCTCTGAGTCTTCACATGGCTTTTTATAAGGACATGTCATTGGATGTAGGATCTCATTGGACTTGAGGTCATATATGAGTTCAGTGTGAGCTCAACTAATTCATCTGCGAGACTCTACTTCCAAATAAGATAACGTTCTCAGGTTTGGGGGGACATGAATTTTGGGCAGACAATATTCAACCCAGTACAAGATGGATAAAAGGAAACAAATATCATCCAGGATCCTTGCTTCATGAATGATAGGGGAAGAAAGAAAATGAGGGTAGAGTTCCAGAATGAGAAGGGACTTCCGGGGGGTTGTTTAGGACTCTAGTCCCGTAACCCAGGACAGTCCTGCAGCAGTAAAATGTCTGCTCACTCTCCGGGACAGGCATTTCGAGACGGCCACTAGGAAGGCACCAGTCCTAGAGGCAGCTGCTGTGGTTCCAAAGTGACCAGCGGGGGCTGTGGCCAGACCTTCTGGAGAGGGAAGCCCGGTCTCCAGCTGTTGGCTCTTCCCCTCCCCCGAGTGCTATGGGGATAAGATGAGCAAAGTGAGGGAGGAAGGACGGATTTGGAAATAGAGGAAGCAGAGCTGGCCTGACACTGGCTAAATAAAAGATAGGGGCTCCTCTTAGGGAGACATATATTCTGGCTAGGAAAATTCCAGTCTGCACTGTAGGTTGACCCTTTGCCCTGATTCGGCAGGACAGCTTCTCTCAGATAACCCTGCTAACCTGCAGGCAGTTACCCCTCCCAAAGGGGCTGACTCATCAAGGTGTTTTGTTTCCACACAAAACTGAACTGAAAATGTCCAGAGGGAAGTGCTGCTCAGCTCTGTGGCTCGGTGTTCATGGGGCATCCCTGAGCATGTGCTCCAGCTCAGCATCCCCCAACCAGAGGCAGTCCTGGGAACTACCTTCGCCCCACCAGGTCAGGGCTGGTGAGCACTACATGCAGAACTGCCAGTTAGGGGAGGAGGCCAGGGCCCAGGGATGGAGGCAGCAGCCCAGGGAAGGAGGCAGAGGCCCAGGGACGGAGGCAGCTGCCCAGGGATGGAGGCAGCAGCCCAAGGAAGGAGGCGGCAGCCCAAGGAAGGAGGCAGAGGCCTAGGGATGGAGGCAGCAGCCCAGGGAAGGAGGCAGCAGCCCAGGGAAGGAGGCAGCAGCCCAGGGATGGAGGCAGCAGCCCAGGGAAGGAGGCAGCAGCCCAGGGAAGGAGGCAGCAGCCCAGGGATGGAGGCAGCAGCCCAGGGAAGGAGGCAGCAGCCCAGGGATGGAGGCAGCCGCCCAGGGATGGAGGCAGCAGCCCAGGGGTGGAGGCAGCCACCCAGGGATGGAGGCAGCAGCCCAGGGAAGGAGGCAGCAGCCCAGGGAAGGAGGCAGCCTCCCAGGGAAGGAGGCAGCAGCCCAGGGATGGAGGACAGAGGCCCACAAATGGAGACCGTTGGCCCAGGGATGGCCGCTAGGTTCCAATAAGCTGGACACATGACAGCCTTGGAATGCAGGTGTCTCAGGGCCCCAGGGCTCTTCAGACCTTAACTGGACATACAGAGGAGCTCTTTATTTCTGGGTTTAGTTATTCTATTTAATAAATATATTAATATACTTAATAAAAATAGGACATTTATAAATAGAACATTCTGTCTGTTTATGTCTGGGTAGAGAGTAGAGCGTGAACCCAAAGTCTATTTAAGTAGAGCCGCTCTCTCAAAGTTCTTCTTCGCTGGCTGAGTGTGAAATTCAGATTCTCCTGCTTGATAACACACCTGTAAGCTAGTGGCATGTAGTATCCTTAAGGGTTTCCGATTCTTCTCTGACTCCATTTGGGCCATGCCAGAGGTAGAGTCTGAGAACTTTTTCATGTTCCTTGTGGAGACTGGAAAAGGAGCCCTGTCCCCAAATGGGGGCAGAGCAGGTCCCCTCTAGGCTGCACCTGTCCTAGTAAATTACCACCAGTGGGGATGTAAGTGACAGCAAGTCTAGCCCTGGGCTGGAGGTTTGGGTATTGAGGGCTCATAAAGTTCCAGTGGCCTAGAAGCCTCCTTGCTAGTGCACAGGAGCAGCGCGTGGGACAACAGAGGGCTTCGAGCGAGGACTGGAGAGACCTCCCTCCCCTACCAAAACGGGTGACTTTCAGAAACATGGGGGCAAGGGCCTGGACTTCCGTAACTAATTCACTGTACCTGCATGCTCTTTGTTCTTTGGGGTAAATTATACACTCATTTTTTTTTTTTAAAGATTTTATTTTTTTCCTTTTTCTCCCCAAAGCCCCCCAGTACATAGTTGTATGTTCTTCGTTGTGGGTCCTTCTAGTTGTGGCATGTGGGATGCTGCCTCAGCGTGGTTTGATGAGCAGTGCCATGTCCGCGCCCAGGATTCGAACCAACGAAACACTGGGCCGCCTGCAGCGGAGCGCGCGAACTTAACCACTCGGCCACGGGGCCAGCCCCCTACACTCATTTTTTATAGTTTCATTCCTCTCCTATCTGGTTGTTGGCATGGCCTTGAGAGCAAAGAGTCCTAGAAATAGGTCAGTGTGTGTTTCCGTGATGAAGCGGACAGCATGGGGGCCCCCCCGCCTGCTCCCTTAGCAAGTCTCTGTGAATGCCTCTCAAGGCCGTGTGGTGGCCCCTTTCGCTGAGGGGCAGGCACTCCAGAGCTATAGGTCTGAGCCCCACAGTTCCACCGATGCTTTTGTCTCACTTGAAATAGCTTTATTGAAAACAAAAATCTGGAAATATTTATTTGACCCCTACCTTTCCTGGTGGCCAGAGGGGCAGGCACCCCAAGGAGTCTGTTATTCACATAAAGCCACCCTTCAGGAGTCAATCGCAACGTTGAAAATGTGGGCGTGAGACAGGAGGAGGGCTGCCGGCACCATCGAGGGCCTTGGAATGACTGGCCATCCCCAGGGGCTGTGGCCCCTCTGTGGAGGTGGAGCGTGCCCCTCTTTGTTCTGTCTCTGGGCCTCTGTCTTAGGTAATTATGGGTCCGAGCCAGCACACCATCTGAAAGACATTGGCCTTTCCAGGCCAGAACAGGCTGGCCCTTCAGGGTCGGGGGCCGGGCCTCAGGACACAGAGGGCTGCCTTCTGGTGGGAGCCCCTGCTCTTCATCTCCTGCCAAGTAGTTTTTCCTCCTGACCTGTTTTCTTCCCCTAAGAAATGTTGTTCCATAGAGTGGTTCAAACGTTTAGCCTGGAATGAACGTTTATCTTTTCAGGAAAGACTTCTTTTCTGCAGTCTTCCGTACATTTCGGTACTTCCTCCTGAACTGCTTTTCTCATAAACCAAAGAGAGCAGCAGGGCTGGGGCCAGTATGTTTAATGTCATCAGCCTTATGCATAGTTTGTCAGCGTCACTGAGTTGTTCTCACTGAGGTCTGTGAAATCTTTCTATTTCTGCCTTGTGTCCTAAAAAGTTGCATAGAAGCTAAAAATTAGAAAGTATGATCTTAAATGCCCAGGATACCAGGCTTACAAGACACTTGGAGTTTATTTTGTTACAAACTAAATAATCATTCCTTTTTGACTGCTTTGTAAACACGTGTTCGTCTTCTGAGTCCCAAATTTCTCTTTGATTATAGTTTTTTTTAAATAGTTTCAACTTGGACAAAGCAAAAGTGGCAAATTTTTTAAACGTAATACTGTAGTGACATTATAAATAGGATTGATAATTGATATAGGACTGAATGAATAACATACAGCATAAGAAAATTTAAGAATACGGTTATAACGTATTCTTAATGCATCTTATGTTATTTTATGTCATCTCCTACCACTGTTTTGTGTTTCAGGTACCGAGCCTTCATTTTTATTTTGACATTTTTGCTGTATGCAAGTTTCCACTTATCTCGAAAGCCTATCAGCATAGTTAAGGTAAGAAAGTATAAAAAGCACTCAATTTCATACCCTGCCTGTAATGTCTCTAAGAAACTAGTTACTTTAAAAGCCAATCTGAGGGGAGCGAGAGGGGGAGGGTGGTAAGATAAATGGAGAAAATGGATTGTTTAGAAGCTAGTTGTTTTGCTCCTTTGGTTTTTCGATTCTCTTTTCTGAGATTAAAATGTTTCAGGATTTATCATTTCAGAGGTGGTACACTTTCAGTCATATTAGTTGATAGTCCCAGACTTCTAAAGCTTAGTTAAATATTTGTTCTATCCTGTGTGATTTTCTCTCCAAATATATTCAGTCTTAAGTTGTTCCCCAAATTGCTTCTACGATCATTGCGTTTTGGTGCTGCGTCTGGCTGTGGTCGTGGGTCTCCGTTGTTCTTAGAACACTGGGTTTCTGTTTGAGTTTGGGTGGCAGGAAGTTGTTAAGCAGGCATTTAAGTAGACTTTGAGTAAAGAAGGTTAAAGTGGACAGTCAGGTATAGTAGTTATAAGCTGGGAAAAAGCAAGATGGCCTTGTAACCCTCCTTGGAGTTACATCACGTTGCCTATAGACTGTCAACAGGCTTGAATGGCTTTTGACTCTTTCTTGTCAAAAGAATAAGGAAATTGTCCAGTGCCAAAGATCGCTCACTGACAGCTCCATTGCCCCCTCCCTCACTTTATAGTCGTTGGCAGGGACGAAGAGCCAGGTCTGTAATGCTGTTGGCCTTTGTGCTGGTGCTTCCTCCACTCCCTCAGTTGCTGCGTGCCAGACAGCTGCCCAGCTGCCCTCCAGCGCTCAGGCCGGTGGGAGAGGCAGCCCTGAGGCCGTGCTTCTGTGGACAGTGGATGTGACTCCCAGGGGATGTCAAACATCGTCATCCGTTTACTCAAAAGCTTCTGAAAGTCCTCCTTGACCCCTAGGAAGCAGGAATTTTCCATGCCCCTCAAGTTGCTTGCAAAATTCTCACTTTTTTGATTCACCAAGTTGTAATGACTATGGAAATGTTTGGAGACCTTTAAAAATGTGGTTTTCAAAAGAGAGGTAAGAGTAGGAGAAGAGGTGGTGGGCCTTAATCCACTCTACCCGTGACTCTAAAATCAGAACCAAGGGCCAGCCACGGTAAATTTCAACACTACTGCTTCTTGTCTTCCTGGTTACGGAAATACACGTATGGCTCAAGAACAAGGCGTGTCATAAAATGGAAGAGGCTGTTGCAGAGGCCTTAGTAGCACCATGGAACTGAAGGAGCAGTAGTGGTCAGGGAGCCTTCCTGGCGTTTCAGGATTGATCCTGAAAGGCTGCGTTTGGATGATGGGGCCAATGCCTAGAGTCCTAGATGGAGGGTGGGGCATCACCATGAAGTTGCCAGCCTGATGGGCGGAGGGTCTGTACTGGGACACAAGCATCGTGGTGAGCTGGCCATGGAGGATCTCTGTGGCGGGGCACTTGGATTCCATCTGGTGGTCACGTGGGTCCCCATTTAGCCAGGAAGGGATGCAGCATTGTTCCAGGTCACTCTCCTGGCTGCCCTGCAGGGGGCTTCGGGCTTACTGAAGGGGAGATCTCATGGGCAGCTCTTGTCTGAGTATTTCACAAGTCGCAGTAACTGCCGCTGGTCGAGCCCCAGGGCACCTTGGGTGCGCACACTCATTATTTAATGTAAACTTCACAGCAGCCCTGTGAGTATCCTTATGAGGAAACTGAGACTCAGGAGCTTAATTCCTTCCTGCAGGGCCAGTGTCATCTCAGGTGAATTCTGCGTGGGTCAGGCTGGCTCCGGGGTCTCGGCTCTTAACCTCTCTCCCGTGAGATCTCTGGTGTGTCGAGTACTGAGAACATTCACAGCGCCACACCCAGCTTTTCTGACTGAGTGCCTTAGCTCTGCCTGCATACGCATTGGCCTTATGTCAAATCCTGGGTTCTTCGTCTTTTAAGACAGATAAGGGTATCACCCTACATAAAGTAAATAAGGGTAACTGAAACTTTATAATGCCTTACAAAGTTTTCACACTCTTTAGTGCCTCTTATTTACAAAACCAGAAGTAGTTAGTGATGATGCTGTTGATTCCAGGAACAGTTTGAATTATCTATAGCCCATATGTCCTAGCACATTATAAGCAAAAGAAAATGAGAATTATTTGCTTATCTGGAATTGATCACGAGGGGTTGTGAATTATAAAGTGATTCACATTCTTTAATGTCGTTTGTAGAGTGGCGTGACGTGTCGTGTCAGATTTAGGCCACCATAACTGTTCAGACTTACCTGTAATCACTGCTGACACATTATACTTTTCTGATTTTAGTATAGCAAAAAGGAAAAAGAGGGAGGTGATGATGCAAACAGGGCCGGGAGGAGGTGGGGTCCAAGTGCTGCTCCTACTCCAGCTGCAGCCTCCTAGCTGAGCCTGGTGACAGGTGGGCCTGGGCCGTGCCAGCGGGACACCTCTGGGGGCGCTTCCCCCAGGCTGGGGGCTGGGCCAGGGCAAAAACCTGAAGGCAGGGAGGTCCTCAGGCAGAGTCTGAGCTGCAGGAGCCCTGTGCCCGGGGGCATGGTGACATTGACAGGTCTGAGTGGGGGTGCCCAGCCCCCCCCCACACAGGACCTTTGAGAAGAAAGCTGTACAATCCTCAGTGGCAGATGGAAAACACAGCCTGGAAAGCTGGAAGCGCATACTGTGGCTTTGGGTGAGAAACTTACTATCTGGAAAGTTCCAGTGTTCCCAGTATTGTGTTATATAGAATGCAACTCCAATGAAAATCTCAGCAGTGTCTTTTTCAATCAAATAACATAATCTTAGAGTTTACATGAAAGAATGTCCAAGAATTAATTACCAAGAAAAGTGTGAAAAAGATAACATTTTTGAAGCCTGTGGTATTGCACAAGAATAGACAAAGAGGTTAGTAGACTAGAATAGGAAAAAGGGGCTGTTTGGCAAAGGCGCTGGGCAAAGTATAGCTTGCTTAATGAATGCTGCCAGCACAGGTAGTTACTCACCCAAAAGGAGTAAAGTTGAATCCCTAGCTTATGAAAAATGCATGGATTAAAGATTTAAATGTAAAAAATTAAAAATCCAAGAACATTATGTCCATCTTAGGGGTGTGAAGTTGGGAAACCCAAAGGAACGGGAGACAGGGGACAAAGAGGCGGTTCCCAGACAAGGGCTCTGAGTTTCCAAGAACTGGATGAACTGTGTGCAAGCCTGCTAGTATTCACAAATGCAGCTAAAATGACCGCAGACCACTTTATACCCACCAACTGGCAAACGCTTAACAGAGTAAGAGCCCCGGTTGCTGGCAGTGCTGGGGAGAAAAGACTTTCCATGAAGCGTGAGTATTACAGCCTTTTGGAAAGCATTGTGGTAACACCTGTTGAAATAAAAAAATACACATCCTTCAGTCCTTTGACTGGGATTTCGCCCATAAAAATAAAAGTGCCTGGGGGCTGGCTCTGTGGCCGAGTGGTTAAGTTCGCGCGCTCCGCTGCAGGCGGCCCAGTGTTTTGTTGGTTCAAATCCTGGGCTCGGACATGGCACTGCTCATCAAACCATGCTGAGGCAGCGTCCCACATGCCACAACTAGAAGGACCCGCAATGAAGAATATACAACTATGTACCGGGGGGGCATTGGGGAGAAAAAGGAAAAAAAAATCTTTAAATAAATTAATTAATTAAATAAAAAAATAAAAGTGCCTGTACTTAGGAGTGTCTGCATAAGCATCTTTATCATAGCATTGTTTGAAAGGAAAAAAAACGCTGGATATGATGTGAACGTAATCAGCAGGTGAAAGTTTGAATAAATTATGGCAAATCCACATTGTGGTATGTGCAACTACTTAAAAAGAATTAATTAGAGCCAATCCAGTCAATTCGGAAAGATTTACAGGAGGTATTTTGAGTAAGCGTAAGGTGTACATAAGTCACTGTAGATTGATTCCAGAAACAAACAGTGACGGGAACGCATCCCTGGGTATTTGGGTGTACCTGTGAGTGGGTAATGTTCGCATGTGCCTGTGGCGTTCGCTCCGTTTCTGTGGCACTTGTGATTGACTCAGACGAACTGACCACATCCACGTGCTCTTGTAAATGGGCACAGCTTCTTTCATCTTCCTGCTGGGTGCTGCCTCAATCCACTCACACTGCTGTAGCAAAATACCAGAGGCTGCGTGCCTTGTAAACAGCAGCAACGTGTTACTCCCAGTTTGAAGGCTGGGAGGCCCAGCTTGGGTGCCAGCATGGTGGGGCTCTGGTGAAGGCCCTCTTCCAGCTTGCAGATGGCCGCTGCCTTATGTCCTCACATGGTGGAGGGGTCGAGGGAGCTCTCCGGGGTCCCTTTTATTAGGGCACTAATCCCATTCATGAGGGTTTCACTCACCTCCCAAAGGCCCCACCTCCTAATGCCATCACCTTGGGGGTAGGTTTCAACATATGAATTTGGGGAAAACAAACATTTAGACCACAGCAGGCACCAAACTGTCGTTTCTCTTCTAGGACTTCTTTTGGATAGTGCTTTGGAGGGTTGTTTTAATCCAGAGCCTTATAAAAGGAGTGTAAAGGATGAGCTAAAATAAATGGACCCACACAACCTGATGAGCCATAGAAAGTTTACCAAACACATCCAGTTCATATGGATTATGTATACACGTGTGTACACACACGTGCACATGTGCGCACACACTTCTCACTAGGTGTCGTGAGAGGTGGCGTGAAACTGACACGACCCTCTCCTGGGTTTGCTGATGAGGCCTGCACCCCCGCTCTGACCATCCTGCCCTTCCTGTGGTCGCCTCTCGGCATCTTCTGCACCCCTTGCAGATTCCCGCCTGGGCTGCCTCAGTTACAGAGAAGCAGCAGCGGCTCTGAAGCCTGAGGGCCAGGCAGAGCTGAGAGCCCAGGAGGTCCCCAACCCCTATTTTTGGAATGAATGAGTGAATGAAAGGAGAGTTTCTCAATGTGAAGTTGCCAAGGCTCCGAGTTGAAGGAACGGAGTCTTCATTAAATGTCCATTCGTATAAAAGATACTTGTGCCTAAGTGACGGCCTGGATCTGTCGAGTGTAGAACTCACGGAGCTTCAGTCTGCTCCAGTGTGGGCTTTGGAAAGGACGTTCCTGCTCCAGCTGCCTGCCCATCGTGCAAAGGATGCCCTTCTGCTGCCCAGTGCTGGCAGAGGGGCTCAGATGGGAGAGGGAGCCTGTGGATAGGAGAGGAGTGCAAATGCCCCATGTCCCACTGTTGGCTCCGCCCCTCCCCTGCACACATTGCCCTGTGACTTCATGGCTGTTTTCTTCTTCCAGCCTGCCGACACCTGTCTTCTCCCACTCCCCACCTTCCAATCCATCTGGTGTTTTGCTGTTTATTTTGTTGTTGCTGTTCCATTGTGTGTTAGACATTTTGAAATAATTGTGAGGATCGTGTACCTAGAATGTTGTATTCTGCTCTTCCTCCTTTGGCATTTCACAAACGTTTTCCTCAGTTGCCAGGTACTCTTTTGATTAATCGACTTTTAATAACTGCCTGGAGTAACACGTGGATTAACTTTATATGTTACCTGTTGAAAGGCACTTGTGTAAAACGTTTGCAAAGGAGCCTGCTTTCATGAATGCAAACGTCTAGCTCCCCCTGAATGATTTTCGTGATAAGAATTAGTTAATCTTGTGGGGGTTTTCTGATCAGTTCATCTTAGCTTCATTAATCCTTGATTTTCCATTAAACACCAGGTTTTGGGAATAAAGTTCATTGAAATATTACAATATAGCAGCATTGTGGAAAACGAACACGTGACTATTTGGCTATCCTCAGAACCCTTTACGCCGGAGTAATAATCTTGTATTGCTTTTGGTGCAGCCTTTCGACAGGTTGAGGGGTGGAGACTGCATTTCTAACGTGGAAGAGGAGGGCTGGGGAGAGAAAGGAGCCGAATGAGGGCAGGGGCTGAGTGGAGTCGCTGTGCGGGTGGACTCCCACACTCACAGCTGCCAGTCACTGAGCCCTTTCGAGGGCTGGGGACCCGGAGAGGAGCTCTCTCCACATGTAGTTGATCTTTACAGCAGCTCTGGGACAGGCCGGATTGTACCAGCTCCATAACTGATGGTAGGGAGTTCACGTGACTTGGCCACGGTTGGAAGCCAGCAGTGCCACCAGGATCCCAGCTCAGAGCCCAAGTGCCTGGCCAGGATGCTAGGCCGCCTCTCCTCACAGGACCAACCAAAACAGAAAATCATTTCTGCTCATTTATGAAACAAAAAGGGGTCATTTCTAATCTTTTCTGTTTCTCATGGACGGTTCCTCCCTGGGAATGTTAGATGATGAAAGATGACATGAAAATCCCATCTGAAACAGTGTCTACAGCATTCCTTTTCTCTTGCTTCCATGTAAGGCGTGCGGGAGAAACCCCACTCTAGCCCTGCTCACTGGCTCCCTCCCCGCCCACTTGAGGCTTTCTGGGTTAAAGGTGGATGGCATCGGTGAAGCCTCAGGGTCTGGCCCACGTGGCTTCCATGAGGAGCAGCAGGAAAGGTGGGCAGAAACGCCTGACCTCCGAGGGTGATGATGGGGCAGGCATGAAACTGAGAGCAGGAGATGCTGAGAATGCCTGCTTCGTACGGAGAGGAAGGGCGGTGGGCCTCCCCGGGGCTCCATCCTGAGGTCGTAGTCACAGCCACGTGGGTGAGCGCTGGGCTCAGGCAGGAGCAGGGGAGGGCCCCTGAGCAATCCGAGATGACCCAGCCCGGCCTGGGGAGGATGAGACCTGCTGAGGAAAGCAATTTGGCAAATAGCTACTTGGAATTTGTAAAGCGGAGCGAGCCCTTGCCTAGTTTCTTAGATCAATGTTTAAATTATAGCCGAACAGCCCAGTAATGATGACAGAGCCACATAACCACAGAGCAGCTGAGTCCTGCGTGCCATCCCGGGTCTCAGTGGCCTGTGTCCATGTAAAATCCAGAGGTGTCCATCCTAGGCTGACCAGAGACCTGACAAGGGCAGCCTTTCAGAGGTGACCAGCCTCTTTGACGGCTCCCGCCTGAAGAGACCGGAGATGCACAAAGCGAAGGTGGTGGACAGCACTTGTGGTTGCCCCCCACCTGCTGGACGGGGGACACTCCTTGCCCCTGCTCTGTGTCCTGACCTTGGGGTAGATGCTCCTTCCGCGGCCAGCTTTCCTCGCAGCCAGCCCTCCAGGCCTCGGCCTCTCTAGGGTCCAGCTCACTAAAGGACACCTCTTTCAGGACCCTGCTGCCCCTGAGGGCTGCCTCCCTGGTCTTGAGGACACCTCCTTTCTGCCCTCGCTCACACCTGATGGATTGGTTCATCTGCACCACTTGTAGCGAAAAACCCAGAAAACGCACAGCAGGAGAGAAGTGGGAGGCCATCTGGGGAGGGGATGCATGTGGCCACCAGGCTTTATGGCAGATGCGTGGAGTCCCGTCTGTGGCCTCCTGTGTGTTATGGAACAAGTGACCTGTTATACAGGTTGCCGCATTACAAGATGGGGCCCGGCTGTCGTGTGGCGCTTTTCTGGAGTGTCAGCTCCTCTTCCTAAGGAGCGCCCTAAGGAGGAGGCCTGCGCACAGCCCCTCTGCCCACTCCTCCCCATCCCTGGCAGACCTCCCCATCCACAAGCTTGCCTCCAGGCCCCACTGCACTGCCTGCCATTTCTCGTGGGCCACCCTGTCCCAAGCAGCAGGCTGAAGATGTGGTGTCCAGCCTCACAGATCCCAACAGCTGTTCCACAGGTGAGGGCACTGAGACAGGGATGGGCGCACCTCGCCCAGGCTCTCACCATCAGTCAGTCATGGGGCTCCCGAACCTTATCTTCCCCTGCCACACACTGCCCCGCCCCCAGATGAGCGCCTGTCTCCTGCCCTGCTTGCTGGTTCCTTGGAGAGCTTGGTGGGCTGGTGGCCTTCTGCCTCAGCTTTCTATTTTACTGAGGTATGATTTGCACATAGTACACAGATCTTAAGTGTCTACCCTGGCAAATATTTACGTGCTCACCCAGGCAGTGATTGCCTAGGTTGAGGTCTGGCCCCTTTCCGGCTCCCCGAGGCTCCCCGCGCCCGGTCGCTAACCCTCCTCCGGGTAACCGCAGTTCTCGTCACTGTTCCCGTGGGTTCATTTCCTGTTCTTGAACTTCGTAAATGGAGTCCCACCATTTGTGCTGCTTTGTGTCTGGCTTATTTTGTGAGATTCATCCTCATTGTTGCGTGGACCTGTAACTTGCTATCTTGTATTGCTGGGCAGTATTCAGTTGTATAAATCTAGCAAAATAAATCCATTCTTCCATTCTGGGCGGGGGGTCTGAGGATGACAGGCAGTCAGCTTTCAGCTGTGCAGCTGCTCTGAGTGGTCAGTCATCTTTAGATGGCCCTGTACGTGCTGTGTGTGTGCTCAGGAGAGCCCGAGAAACCGCACTCACGGCAGACATTCCATGGGTCATGTAGACTGCCCCGGATGGTGCCTGCTTCCCCTGAGAACGCCGTCACCTTGGAAGGCCATTGAGAGGGCCAGCTGCTCTTGCGTGGCGCCCGCTGAGCCTCACCTGAGGGTATCCTCTCCCTCTGGTTCTGTCCTCCCCATGCCTGTCCAGGGTGAGCTCCACAGGTACTGTGCTGCTGTGAATGAGGGCGAAGTCGAATTCAACAGCCAGAACCAGAAAGCCGGTGATGTCCCCCCTCACCAGCGCCCAGACAACGAGACTGACTGCGGCTGGGCCCCGTTTGGTGAGTTCTCCATCAGCCACCGTGTTGTCCAGTTACTGAAGTGGGCCGTCCCACAGGGCTCCTGCACATTTGGCGAGTGCCGGGACAGGGCTGGCGTTGCCTGACTTCCAGCCTTGCCAGTTTGCGCAGCACTGACAATGTTCTTGAACGTGACTGCGTCTCCAGGGACAGCTCTGTCCCATCAGTTCTTCCCCCTTCAGTTGCCTCTGCCTCCACGGGGCCTGTGTGCCGAGGTGTTGCCACCGGAGAAGAGAGTCTCTTCGTGGGCTGTAGTTGTCAAGCCTGGAAGTTGGGACTGGCAGAGCATGCACTGTGGGTGGAAAGGAGAGAAATCCCAGACGTGTGGTGTGGGGCTGGCCTAGGCGGCGGGCGGGGTGGGGGAGGCTGAAGGAAAGCTAGTGTGACGTATGAAGCAAAATGAGTAAACCACATGCTCACCGTGAGCAATGGGGATTTTAGCTACTCCTGTTTATTTAGTGATTATTTGAAAATGTGGCGACTTTATTTCCCTTTGTCGAGAAGCCAAACAGAAGATGTGCTGCCGTATTTTCTGTATTCAGAACCACCCTTTCTCCTCTGAGTCCACCACCCACACTTGGAGAGCAGGCGTTTTGTATTTTATTGCCCCGTTCCAGAACACGAACCGATATTTAGTGAAAGCTGACAGTCTCCGCCTTTCCTGTGATTTTCCCCGTGTAGATCGGGACAACTACCAGCAGCTGCTCGGGGCCCTGGATTACTCCTTCCTCTGCGCCTACGCCATCGGCATGTACCTGAGGTAGGTCTGGGTGCCTTCTCAAGACCCTGGCCAGCTATGGCCCGCTCAGTGCAGAGCGTGTCCAGTGTGCTGCAGGACACAGGAGTGCGTGAGACCAGCCCACCTGCAGGTCGCCTACCTTCCAGTCTCTTCTCAGAGATGAGGATAAAGAGAAAGCCAGCGTGTGTGTGGTGCTGTGTCGGTCAGCGTGTGACCGTGATGCAGCACATTTAGACATCCTGGGAGCTTTGCTGATCAGGGCAGACTGTTGTGGATGGCCTCGTGGCCCTGATGTTGAGGACACACCATGACCCTGCTGGGATGTGGTCACTTAGGAACAGGGTACTGGCAGCTCCCTGTGATGCTCAGCAGAGCGCATCCTCTCCTCTGGTTTCAGGGGCCGCCATCTGTGTTCACATCCCAGATCACTAATTCTGCCTAGTGTCAGAGCAGTTTACACAGTATATGTGGGCAAGCCCACCTGGATGCCCGGCTCAGCCCAAAAAACGCACCTCTCCTGGGTGCACAGAGGCTGTGTGGTGTGGCCACTGGGGATGTGGACTCCAGAAACACCCTCCTGGGATTTGAATCCTGGCTCTACCACTTGCTTGTGTGGCTTTGGGCAAGATACTATCCCTCTTTGGGTCTCAGTGTCCCCTTTGCAAAATGGAGGAAATAGTTCTTACCTTGTAGGATTGCAAGGAGGAGTAAAGGAGAGACTCACGTGGAACGCTCGGAACAGAGCCTGACACGGTGGGTTCCCAGCATTGCTACAGGAGGTTGTGACCCCTCCTGAGCTGACCTCGGGAGGTGGAGGGTGTTCTGTGGGTAACGGGACATGCGGCTGCCTGATTAAAACTGGCATTGTGGCAGTCCAGCCAGGTTTAAAAACATTATAGGGACTAAGTCCTTTAGCCCAAGAGGCTTTTCTTCAGAGACAGAGATCCTTAGAGCTTTGAGACTCTCCGGGATCCCTGAAAATGTTAGCTTCTTCCCTGAGACCACGCAGAGTGTGGCATCGTCAGGACCTGGGCCCCCCTGGCTCAGGGCCCTTCTGGGTGGCTGGTGCCCAGTCAGGCAGCTTCTGCTGATGAAATGGATGGCTCCCGCTTTACTCTATTTGCCTACTTGTGTTGTGCTGCGGAACTTGTCCGAATGAATGAGAGAATAATAGCCGATACGAAGCCTGAAGCGTGTGGTGCACCGCAGAACACGAGCCCCACTGAAGGGAAGTGCGGTGTGAGCCTGGGTTTCTCAGGGCCTGGGGCACCCGAGTTCTAAAGACTGCAGTCTTACTGCACACCAATGATCTATAGTGTAAGAAGACCCAAAGGTTGGAATGTGTTTTTCTCAGTTACTAGGAAACAGTATTTAAACGTGGTTCTCAGCTGGGAGTGCTTTCTGTTACCTAGGAAACATTCAGCAATGTCTGGAGACATCTTTGGTTGTCACAGTTGGAGAAGGAGGTGCTCCTGGCATCTGGTGGGCAGAGGCCAGGGATGCTGCTAAGCATGCTACAGCACACAGGACAGCCCCTCACCACAAAGCATTACCCGGCTCAAGATGTTAAGAAACCTGGTTTAAATAAAGTGATTTTATTGTTGCTTATTTGTTGGCAGAGATAACTTTTCATGCAACTTGCCAATGAGGGTTATTACACAATTCTAGTGTGAAACCCACAGTATACTCATGACTTAGCAAGAGCGTACACTGCTGCCTTGCCTGGCCTTCTGGTGACATCATGGCATATGGCTAGTGAAATGGCTTGTGTAGTAAATGAGATAAGTCAGTATGGTGGGCACCTTCATTAGCCCAGGTCATTCCTGGCAGGTTCAAGCAGGCGTGGGGTGGCCTTTAGTACCTGTGTGAGTCTGACATAATGTGGGATGGCGTCCATTCCGTTAGGCCTTTTCTTTAAAAACTTTTCAGTAGAGATGAAACTTGGACCCAACGTCGTATAACAAGCAAGACATGCACAGGAGAACATTTCAAAGCCCTGGCTGGTGGCCCCAGCTCTCAGGAGGCCCGTCTGACTCTGCCGTGTGTTCTGTGACCTTGGGCAGATCAGCCATCCCTCTGGGATGTGTTTCCTCGTCTTTGAAGTCAGCGGGTTGAAGTGGTTAACTCGTTTTGCTCTGGAATGCTCTTGAATTTGTATGTGATCAGTTTCTACTCAGCTTAAAACTTCACCGGAATGTTGTTTATAATTTTAAATTACTTCCTCTGCTTTCGTATTTTAAAAGGTCATTTGTGTGGTACTAGATAGATCTTTCTTGTCTGGTAAATCCAGAAGGAAGAGCTCTCTGGTGTATTGAAAGACCGGCATTTTGGCGATGGTTCCCAGAGGACTGCTCCCCGGCAGGCAGGTGTCGTTCTTCATCCCCTTTCATATTTACCTGACTCCTAGAAAGATCATGCGGGAGAAAATGAGACCCACAGAGTTTTGACCCACAAGGCTTGCAATCATTTGTGATTGTTCTGCAGTTGTTTGTTCGCCTAGTAAGTCACAGTGTTAAGTTGCTCCGTAGTGACATTTCCTGTCAGGCAGTAGAGAGTCTGTTTCCTGTGGCTGTAGGTCGTGTGCTTGGACGGTGTTGGAAGCCTGTCAGATACGTGCCCCAGCGTGAAACTGGGGACGTTTCATCCTCACCGGCGCCCCGGCGCTGCTTCGTTGAGGCCCCACCGCCTACCAGGCACTAACCCGCGTTTGTCTCCTTGAGCCCCAGCCAGCTCTGGGAGGAAGCTCTCCAAAGAGGTCAGCTCTTTATTGAGTCACGTTGCGTTCAGGAGGGGCGTAGGGGCTCTTCCTCCAGCTTTCCGACCTTCCCCTAAAGAAAAGCTCTCTTTAAACCAGATGGCAGTGCCTGTGGCAGGCGGGGGTGGTCGGCAGAGCCCGTCCAGCCCAGAGCCTTAACGCGGGTGACTTAAGGACAGCTCGAAGGCCAACAGACTTACTCAAGGGCACAAGTGGTCCCTTTTCGTGACGTTTGTCTATAGTTTAATGGTTGAAATTTTAAAATACTGTATACATTTACTGAATATTGCTTATATAAAAGCAAGATTAACTAGCAGGACAAGTTTTTGGTTTTTTAGTGGACAGCCATCATATGTAAGTCATAATTCGAAATTTATTATTTGACAGTTAGTGCTTTTACTAGAAATGAAAAGTCTTAAAAGCTGTCGTCAGTTGCCAATTTCTAGTTAATCAATACTCTACTGGGAAACAGTTGTGATAAAATCTTCCTGGAAATTATAGTGCTTTAGAGTTCTAAAAGCTCAGAGAACAGCGTGGAAACATCCGGAAAGAAATTGCTGGTCATTACATGATGGGTGTGTTTGTTTTCTCACATTTGTCTTTCTGTTTTCCCAGTGGCATAATAGGGGAGCGCCTGCCTATCAGGTATTACCTAACCTTCGGGATGCTGGCCAGCGGCGCCTTTACTGCCCTGTTTGGATTGGGGTATTTCTACAACATCCACAGCTTTGGATTCTACGTCGTAACTCAGGTAAGGTCTGGGTCCTTGCTCACCATGGATGGGGTGTCCACAATGAGCTGGACATGGTGTTTGTCACAGTCCCCAGCTCTGCCGAGAGAGAGAAGACAGCAGATGATGGAAGTGGGGCGGAACTGTGTCTTGTCTGACGTCAGGGTCAGCACTGGCATATAAAGGCCCTCTTCTCTCTTTGGCTCTGAACGTCCGGCAACCGTGAAGTGTCCTTAGATTCCAGAGCTGCCTCTTAAAAAATCCTGTCCCTATCCAGCAGGGGGGCCGAAGCTCAAAGCCCTCATTTTTTGTCCCCACCCCCCCCCCGCCCCCGCCCACTTATTTTGATGAGCTTGAGATGTTCTGTCCTGTGACAGATTTGACCACTCTGGAGCAGGAGGGTTGGGGTGTAGTGAGGGCAGGAGGAAGGGAGGACTTTGGAGTCGTCAGCTGCAGGGTGGGGATGGGGCCAGTCGGCAGGGAGGAGAGGAGAGGGCGTGCTGGTGCTCGAAGGGAGTGAAGGCCGAGAGGCTGGGCGGGTTTGCCCTCCAGCTGGGCCCACTGTCCTGAACTCTTGGCTCTGCCCCTCAACAGCCTTGTGTACAGATGTTGACTGGAAAAGGAAAATGACTTAAAATAATGGTGCTCAGCTTCTGAGGCTCTCCAAATAGCCGAGGGGGGTGTTATAAAATCATTAAAGCAACTTGTGTGTGATTCGCTTTTAAAAATTTTGCCATAGGACTTGAAAAAGTTTGGCTGTTTTAATTACAAAAGTGATTCACTTTGTAGTAACATAGACTATTAGAAGGAAGGAAAAATCAATTTCCCAGAGTCCCTGCGTGTTCCTGGAGAGAAGGCCAAGCCTGGCTGGCCCAGGGCTAGACCAGCGGCTCCCAGACACTCCCCTGGAGAGCTGCTCAGCCCCAGCGGGGGTCGTAGGAGGCGCTAGGCTGGACCTTGTTTCATGTCGTCTCATAAAGTTGCCCCTGGTGCTCCCGAGACTAAAGCAGACCCACTTCCCCTTCCTAAATCCCTTTTTAACACGTCGGCTCAGGGCGCTCTTGAAAAGCGGACGGATACTTTCTCCAGGCGCTAGGTCGAGGGCATGCTCATTGCAGAGGATCGTTAACAACAGTACTTTCTCCATGATACAAGAAGTGAAAACAGGCCAATCATAAGCTATATTTATGGTACAGTCACTGTTCTGTAAAAAGAAGAAAATTTTTTCCTAAAACGTTTTAGAATAGAGGGAGACTGCAGGGGCTGGCCCCATGGCCTAGCGGTTAAGTTTGGCACACTCTGCTTTGGCAGCCCAGCTTCAGTGCCTGGATGTGGAACGACACGACTTGTTGGTGGCCATGCTGAGGCGGTGACCCACACACGAGATAGAGGAAGACTGGCACAGATGGTAGCTCAGGGGGAATCTTCCTCAGCAAAAAAAAAAGAGAGAGAGAGAGAGATTAGAAAGCTTGGCCCCAAGCTGTTAACAGTAGTTAATCTCCTAGCAAGAGATTTTCTTTTCCTTCTTTTCTCTGCTTATTCTAAAATTTATTCAATAGACGTGTATTACTTTTGTGATAAATATATGTATGTAAATTGTTTAAAACACACCTTCGGCTGTTGAGGCTCACATTGAATAGGGTTCTGCCCTCTTCCCCTTCCGAGAGTCCCAGCGGGGCTCCCAAACTTCTGAAGAACAGAGAAGAGGCCGCTCCCGCGAGCCTGGCGCCAGGCGGCCCTGAACCGTGCTCCCCCTGCAGCGAGTCTTCTCTCTCGCCCTCTGTCTCAGATCGTCAACGGACTGGTGCAGACCACCGGCTGGCCCAGCGTCGTCACTTGCCTCAGCAACTGGTTTGGAAAAGGAAGGTGAGAACAGGCAGCTGTGTTTCCAGCAGCTTTTACTTTTTAAAAGATTCTGCCGAAAGTCGGACCACTTTATTTTTAGTTTTTCTTTAGATTTATTGCAGGAAAAAAGAAAACACTTTAACTAGTCTACTCTATGAAACAAGACTGTTGAAACCTCTGGGACTTGAGGCTCTGAAATTCAGGTGGGGCCGTGTGCCAGGAGATGCCTTCGCTGTCGTGGGCCGGGTTGAGGCTGTGTCAGTCTGCACAGCTGACCAGCAGCGTTGGCTTTGCCTGGCCTCCTGGGCACCTGGGAGCAATGCAGAGTTCAAGGCCCCCCAGGTCTTTGGAAGCAAAGGCTACACTTTCACAAGACTCTAAGGTGCATGGAAGTGTGACAAGTCCTAACGGGGTCACCCACTGCCAATAGCAGAGCTGCCCCCGCCTCTGGTGATCTGGCTGTAACGTCTGTGTGACACGCAGCACAGTGCGGCCAGGCCCAGGGCTGAGAAGTGTGGCAGACACTAACCAAGATGGGGAAGCTGCCGCCTGGGGCCTTCCGCCGATGCCCTGCTCCCTCCATCCGGGCTGGTCAGCAGGAGCTTCTGTTATGGGTATTTCAGCCCACGACTGTGCTGAGATTGCCGAGGCACAAGTTTAAGTTTGGGGCCTTCCAAGAATTTCAGGAAAAGCCTCTTTCCTCTGTTTAATCGTAGAATAAATGAGCACTGAGAGAGATGTGTACTTACACAGCCTGAGGCTAAGTACAAGCAGGACTCTCCTGTGAACACCTCTAGTCCTGTGGCTGGCAGGAGTGTCTGCACTGCCTGTTTGTTTATTTCTACACGAGCTCTCGCGTTGCAGGCAGCATGTCCTATGCAAGTGACCCGTTTGAGCTTCTCGACATCATTTGCCGTCTTGTGTTTTGTTGTGTTACAGGCGAGGTTTGATCATGGGGGTCTGGAATTCCCACACCTCCGTGGGCAACATTTTGGGGTCCTTGATTGCTGGCTACTGGGTGTCCACGTGCTGGGGCCTGTCCTTCGTCGTGCCTGGGGCCATCGTGGCAGCCATGGGGATAGTGTGCTTTCTCTTTCTCATCGAACGTAAGTACCGGCGGCCTTGGAGCTGACCCACCCCGGGGGCTTTGGGGCGCATTCTTAGGAGAGCGGCTGTTGCTTAGTCCTATGCAGGCATGTGGTCATGCTGGCCCTCCCCTTGCCAGTGGACTGCCTGTCTCAGGTAGAGACTTCCCCAATTAGCCATCCCTCTCCTGGTCTTGCTGGGTTTTCGGCTGTTTCCTGATGTCTGGGGCAACCTTTGTTGAGCTGCTTTCTACCCTGTCCCCCTGCGCCGCAGCCTTCCCTCCTGGCAGGTGTGTGTGGTTTTCCCCGTGCTTGGGGGTCTCTCAGCTTCCTCAGGCCTGCACGTTGCTCACCTCCAGGGCTGGAGCGCCTGCCCGCGTGGCCACCCCTGCTCGCCCAGTCCTGTGGCCACACCCGGGAGGCCCCGCCTGCTTGTTTGCTTTCTGGTTAGCCATGGTTTGCTTTCTGGTCATGTCATAAAGCATAGTGTGACTTTAGACCGTAGATCCTAATTAGGTGAGAAGTGTTCCCCCAGAAAATCAGATTCTTTGTTCCATTCCAGACTCAATATCAAACTTTTTATTTAATTGAGTTTGAAATTGATTTTTAAAATAGAGATCCTGCGGGACAAGGCTTCTTAACTATGACACCAATGGTGCAGAGGCTGTGCTGCCTTCGCTGTTGAATGTGGGGGTGTTCTAATCCCACGAGCTATTCTGATGAGGGACAGTTGGCATTTACTTCTTTAATTAGACTGAAAGCAAAATAGGATCGTGTGGTACTAGGCAGCTCCCCACTGTTGAGCCCCAGGTGGGGGTGCTCCAGGTCAAATGACTCCACCCGTGCTGGGCAGTGACTGTAGCTTCCCCTGGGCGTTCCAAGCTGCCGGCTTCATCGTCCAGGAAGGTGAGGCATGTTCTGTTGAGTTTCTCACTTCTTCTTCTTGTTGCTAAAGCTAGCCTTTTAAATTCTAAGATAACCACCCCCTAGCCAAGCAGCTCTGAGGCTCCAGGCCAGCCTTGTCTGCCAGCGTTCAGACAAGGACTTGAGGCAGGCCCACCGGGGGAGCAGAACGGGCTGAGGCTCACCTCCCAGTTTCACCATTTTCTCAGCTTTTAGCAGCGTCTCAAAATGGCCAGTGTGAGTGAGTTGTTAAGCAGATGAGTGGTATTTTGACTCCCTCACCAACATGCCAACCTGTGGCATCCAACTGTAGCTTGAGTGTCACCAGAGTTCTGGGAAAGGCCCTTCGCATCACCTGTTTTCCTCCAGGCTGGCTCCCCAGCACCTGCCCTCCAGGTGTTCCTTCCACGTCAGTCACCTGGGGAACAGGCTCTTCCTCCTCACTAGTGCCGGGGCCCTGGGAGGTCTGGAGTCCACAGTGGCTCTTATTTTCTTTGCGGCAGGAGGCGTGAGCCCCTCTGCTGGCCTGGCAGGGGTCCTAGCACCACCCCTGCTCAGCTGTCATCCTGCGGGGCCTTGTCTCCTCCAGGGCAGGATTTCCCAGAATGAGGAAGCTGTGGCTTGGTCTTCCCTAATAAGATGAGAGCCTCCTTCCCACCGATCCAGCGTTCAGTGGCTTCGTGGAGTGGGGGCCGAGCTGAGAGGGTCTGCACAGGGGCAGGCTGGACCTGCCTTCCCATCACTGCCCATCACCTATTGTCAGTGCCTCCCTCCTATTCCGTGGGCTGACCTGCGGCTTCCCCCTCCTGAGGTGTGGTGACCTTGGAGTGCTGTTGCTCCCCTCCCGGGTCCACTCTGAGACAGAACTGCAGCTTCCTCGAAGCCCGCCAGGCTCTGAGGCCGGGGGACCCCGCCTGTAAGGTTTTCCTGGGAGATCTGACTGACCCTGAAGTGGAGGACAGATGAGTGCATTCCGGCCTGTGTCTGCCCCCTGCTCTCAGCTGCCCCTTGGCTCTGGGAGGGAAGAGTGGCAAGCTGGCGCTGACAGGGAGTCTCAAGGCACCGCAAGCGGGCAGCGGGTGCTGTGGGACTGAAGGCCCGGCCACAAAGGCCATCCTGTTCTGTCTCCACTCATCACATTCCTCTGGTTGGTGGGGGGTTTCTTACCTATGGTCTTAGCCTGTAGCCATTACTGGTAAGTGTATGGTTGGTTATACAAGACCCTCAAGGTAGCTCCCTGTCCTATTCTTACCAGTACCACCAAAAACTTCTTCTCACTGCTCCTCCTGCCCTGCCCACCACACACCAGCATTCTTCGTGGATCCTCAGTGCACTCTGGTCTCCCAGCAGAGCCCTGGGGCATCCCAGTGTATCTCGCCCAGTCACCTGACGCCGGTTCTCCCTCTGCTCCGCTCAGGTTGGCCGTCCTCGTCAAATGCCCCCTGGCTGCTCCCTCTCTCCCCTCCCAGCTCCCGCTCAGGCTGGTCCCCAGGGCCTGGCTCACAGCCCGCAGAAACCTTCTGGGCCTGGTGTTTCTCCACTTTCCCACTGAATGTCTTCCTTTTGAGCCTGTCCTTCGCTGTGTTCTCCCACTGGGTGTCGGCTATGCCTCTGAGGTTGCATCTACCCTCTCGTATTAAAATCTGAGGTTGACTTTGTTACAGTCACGTGCCGCATGATGACATTTATCGACGAGGAACCACGTATACTATGGTGGTCCCGTGAGGTTAGCACCCCAGAGCCCAGGCATGTAGCAGGCTGCACCATAATCCAGGTTTGTGTAAGCAAGCTCTGTGACGTTCGCAGCACAAGAAATCACCTAACAGGGCATTCCTCATACCTGAGCCCCATCAGTGAGCGACGGTGTTTACATTGGGTCTAAGGCTTCTTTCAGACTCTCCTAGCAATTACGGAGCTCACACTCTGTGGCTCTCCTTCTTCCCGTGTCATTATCAGGACATTTCATCAGGGGTGGGGGGTGGCTGCCAAATACTGAATGCCTCCTGTGTCCCAGGCGCCATGCCAGGCTCGGGACACATGCTGTTTCACGGATTTCCAAGGAAGGCCTGAGTCTCGGGGTGCTCACTCACCTGCCCAAGGTCACACGGAGAGTGGTGACCTTGAGGTGTGCTGAATGCCAGCTCACCTATTCAGGCTTTCTCAGACTTTGGCCATGGACCCCTTAGGTCCTTGGGATGTGTTCTTGTGGGTTCAATTAAAAATTTTTGTTTCATTTAGATGATAATCTTAAAAAACAAAACTTGTTAATTATAAATGTTGTCTTCTCTTATAGAGATAATATGCATTTGAAAGATATTTTTGTACAATAGGAGTTTGGGTTCTTAAGTCAGTGTTTCTCAAACCTGGGTCCCTGGAACTCTGGGAGATAAAGATTATTCGTGGGGACTGGGGGAACTCTTTTCTTTCAAAAGCATCTGAGAAATACCATGTATCGTGTCTTCTCAGCCACATCATTCTGTCATCTGAGGCTTTCCCTCCCTGTTTCCTCCTGATTAAATGGGTGATTATCAAGGCTAATGGGACCCGCTCTGTCCCCGCCCGCAGCCCACACTCGCGTCTTCGCTGCGGATGCTCCAGTCCTCCACCACTCCCGCGTTCCCTCCCGGCCCTCCTTCCCCTGTGCCGTCCAAGCACCTGTGGGAGCCTGCATCCAGGTCCTTCTCCACCCCCCCTGGGAACTTAGAGGCCCTGATGAGCACCCCCACCCACCAAGGAATCAAGAGCAGGTCACCAGGGCCCCCTCACTCTGGCACGCAGGCCAGACGTCCCCCATCTGCTCTGTACCTCTTGGCAGGGGGACCCCATCACCACAGTACAGCCCCTGATCCCCAGGTGGGCCTGTCTACTCAGACCCGCTCCACTGTCTGGGGAGCCCGGCTCCACTCACCCCCGTCTCTCTGGGGCCAAGGTCTGGAGGGGCCCCTCTGTGCCCACAGCTTTGAGAAGGACTGCCCTGCGCTCGCTGCTGTGCTGTGCCTCTGAGATGTCCGTTTTGCAGCAGCTCCCCCGGCTGGCGTCATTGGAGGAGGCATTTCTGTAGCCCTCCAGTGAGGGGACCCCAGGCACCAGGGCCCTGTGTCCATGAGTGTCTCTGTGGGCAAGGGGAACCTGGTATGCAGGCTCTGAACCCCTTTCTCCTCCTTCTCACTCAGGGCCGGCGCGGGCCCTTGTAAAGGAGGCCTCTCTGACCTGACAGGAGCAAGCTCCATGGGCCAGAGGCCACCTGTCAGCCCCAGTCCACCCTAGACACAAGGCTTGTCGATCCAAAGGGGGCTGCTCTCTGTCCTTAGCAGAACAAAAATAAGGCCATTGGACCCATCCTGCCAAGAAGAGTCGATAACGTGTTCTTTGCCCTCGTGACGGGGCGGGCACGTGTGCGTGAATGCTGACAGCCAGCTGTAAGTAATGGTGAGCAAATACTGTGCCCAGAGAAGAAGCCCCTTTGCAGATAGGAAAGACAAATTCCATGTGCATCGTGGTGGTTTATTTCTGCGCCCTGCTCATCCCTAGTCACTGACCCTGGGGGTGGCAGTGAAGGCTTCCGGTGAGCCCCTTCTCGTGACCGGCTGAGGGCCCAGCTCTCTCCTGCTCCTCCTTTCTGCCTAGGGCGAGGCCCAAAGGTCAGGGCACCTGCTTGTGGGCCCCTCCAGGTCTTCTCATGAAGCCATTCTCAGCATGTCCCCACCAAGGTCTTGTGTGCTAATGTCCTGCAAGGTGAAAGCCGAGAAGAAGCCATAGCATGGGGGGCTGGCCAGATCCCAGGAGGAGAGGAGGCCTCCTGACTGACTTGGGGCATCCCAGTGTGGCTGCAGAAAATCACGCAAGTGAGTGGAGACCACACATCTCAGGTGGGCCGTCCAGACCCCCAGCGCTCCCCCTGCCCACCGCAGAGGGCAGGCACGGAGGGCCTCCAGGCCGGCAGAAGTGTGCTCAACTCGGTGTGGCCCTCCACAGGCGTCACCCTCTGCGTCACCAGGGAGGGACCTCGGCTGTGGGCAGTTTAAAGCCCTTAGCTCAGTTTGTTTCCAGGCAGTTAAACTGTTTAACCCAAAGTTATAAAAAGGCCAGGATTCTGGGTGGTGGGGAGAGAGAAATGAAGCCATTTAAAAGGCGGCCTCTGGCTTCTGAAGAAGTGGCATTTGCCTCCCCCCGCTCCCCGTGCCTGTAAGTCTGGCTGTGGTCCCACATCTCCCAGTCACAGGTCACTGGTGTAGTTTTCAAGTAGGAAAGTGAAAAAAGCTTCTGCTTTTGTTGCTTTTCTCGTGTCCTCCTTCCCTCCTTGGGTTTAGATAAAAGGCATTTTGCTTTATATCAAGATAGATGCTTTGTTCCCACTAGTTTTTATTTCTAATTAATTCCATACATTTTAAAACTCAGCCCTGGTGTTATTCGTGACCCCACTACTCTGATAAACTTTCGTGTTTTTGTATTTCCTTCTGATGCTTATCCTTTAAACGTATCTGTCGTGGCCAGTCACCGTGGTGTACATGGGCTCTGCTCATTGTTATTCGTCGCGTGTGGAATGCTTTCCACGGAGCACAGCCGTGTTCGTGTTCCCGCATTGCAGTGTTGGGGTGGCTTCGCTGCACCCGCCTCAGTACAGGCCTTAACAGTCACAGGGCCCTGAGGAGGGCGGGGGCGTGGGTCCTCGGCCGCATGGTTGGGCTGTGCCTTCACCCCACCCCATGCTCCTCGGACGTTGTCTTTTTTCTTGAATTGTTGCTAATTCAGTAACAGTATCAGATGGTGTCTTGTTTGGGTTAATTTCTTGTGTTAGTGAAAACTCCGGCCCAGGGTTCACGTTGTCACATGTTTGGTGTTTCAGATCCGAGGGACATCGCCTGCTCTTCTACCTTGACAGCGGTAAGGACTCGCTCTCTGCTTCTTGTCCTCTAGGACAGTGTGCCATCTGCCAGATGTCTCATGACTGTCACCAGCCTGGGCTCGTCTGTGCAGTGTCAGTGGGTAACAAAGTGTGAACATGAGTCACCCTCCAAATACTGGCAGTTTCAGGGAAGGGCTGATGATGACAGTCACAACAGAAACTCGGATGGGAAGCTCAATGCGGTCGGATTAAGGGCTTCCCAGCAGAGGGGACCCAGAGGTCAGGGACTGGCCGAGCCTCACGTGGAGTGGGGACACCCTGACTTTCACCAGCTACCTCGGGAACTGGGGAGAGTTTGGGCCCTCACCTTCCACCCTGGAACATCTTCTGGGGATGGGAACTAGGCACCGAGTGTACAGGGACTTTAAGGAGGGGGCGACTCTTCCTCATGTACTGCTTTCAGGAGTCCGGGAGAGTGCGCCTGAGCATAAGCGGTTGTTTCTGCACCATGTGTATGATTCAGGATGGGCGGCTGTGTCGTTCAAATCCTCCCTGAGCCCGCTGAGCTCCTGGGGTGCCCGGCTGCCCCAGGATGCTGTGGGGCCGGGTAGCTCAGGGGGATGGCTCCTCTTCCTCTTTCCTCCTCTCAGGGGTTGGTCACGGCTGGAGAGATCAGCCGGATTTCTGGAGACACTTCATCAGCTTCTGCAGACAGCCCCCAAACTTCTTTTTCCCACAGGAACTGTATCTACCTTCTGTAGGATGCTGCAAAACCCTTGTCACGGGGCCTTCTCAAGAGGCCCCAGAGCCCTGGGGTGCTGAGGGCAAGTTTGGCCAGTTCCCCACCTGCCACTGTCCCTTGCTACCTTTGCTTTGTTGTAAACGGAGCTTCTGGGCGGAGCAGAATGCATGTGCGAGACGCTTCAGTGTGACTTGCGCTACATAGAGCCACGTTCCAGGATGTTCCCATTTGAAGGTGCTGTCCTCTGGGCCAAGTTCTTATTTTTTCCTATATTTTAAAGTTTTTGTTACGGAAATTTAAAAACATGTAAAAAGAATAGTATAATGGACCCCATGCACCCATCACTCTGCCCGTCTGTTTCAGCAATACTTCCGATGCTTCTTCCCCCACCTCCTCAGGATGAATTTTGTAAGCAAATACCGCCATATTATTTTGTCTCTGACTACTTCAGTATATGTTTCTAAAAGATAAGGACCCTTTTATTAAAAAAAATATATATATATATAACTACTATACCATTATGACACCTAAAAACAATGGTAAAGAATAGAAAAACAATAGAGAAAGCAATTAAACCAAAAGTTGGTTCTTTGAAAAAATCAACTAGATTGACAGGCCTTTAGACTGACCAAGAAAAAAGACAGAAGATTCAAATTACCAAAATCCGGAATGAGAGAAGGGACAGTAGTACCAACTCTACAGGAATAAGAGTTATAAAGGGCGACTATGAATAGCTGTGTGCTAACAAATTAGATAACTTAGAATAAATGGGAAAATTTCTAGAAAGACATAAACGAGCAAAACTGACCCAAGAGATAAAAAATCTGAATAGACCTCTAACTAGGAAAGAAACTGAATTATTAGTTTAAAAAATTTATTACAAAGAAAAGCCCAGGATCAGATGGCTTCATTGGTGAATTCTACCAGACATTTAAAGAAGTAATACTAATTATTCACAAACTCTTTCAAGAAATAAAAGAAAACACTTCCCACCCCTTCTGTGAGGTATTATCCTGATAACAAGGCAAAGACATCGCAAGCAAAGAAAACTATAGATCAATATCTCGTATGAATGTAGATGCAAAGCTCAACAAGATGCTAGTAAACCTAATCCCGCAACATATAAAAAGGATCATACACCATGGTCAAATGAGATTTATCCCAGTGATATGCGGTTGGTTTAATATCTGAAAATCAATTAATGCAATGCTCCATATAAATAGAATACGGGACCAGAAGCATGTGATCATCTCAATAGAAGCAGAAAAAGCGGTTGACAAAATCTAGCAGCCCTTCGTGATAAAACATTCAACAAACTGGGAGTAAAGGGGACTTCCTCCGTCAGATCAAGGGCGTCTGTTCACACCCACCACTGACCTCACACTCAGTGGTGAAAGACTGGATGCTTTCCCTCAAGATCGGGAAGAAGACAAGGATGCATGCTGTTGCCATTTCTATTCAGCGTTGCGTGGGAGGCCCCAGCCAGAGCATTCCGGCATGCAGATTGGGCAAGAAGTCAATGAAATGAAAGGCAGGCAGACTGGACAAGAAGTAAAAGCACCTCCATTTGCAGATGACATGAGCTTGCATATAGAAAATCTCAAGGAACCCACCAAAAACTGCTAGAGCTAAGTAACAAGTTAGCAAGGTTGCAGGATACAAGGTCAGTATACAGAAATCAATAGTCTCTCTATACATTAGCCATGAACAATCTGAAAATGAAATTAAGACTAATTCATTTACAATAGCATCAAAATAATAAAATATTTAGGAACAAATTTAACCAAAGAAGTGCAAGACATATATTGAAAACTATAAAACATTGTCAAAAGAAATTAAAGAAGACCTAAATAAATGGAAAGACATCTCATGTTCACTGATGGGAAGACTTAGTATCATTACGATAGCAATATTCCCCCTAAATTGTCTGCAGAGTCGGCGTAATTGGTATTAAAACCCCAGCTGGCTTCTCGGCACAAATTGACAGGCTGATTCTTTAATTAATATGGAAATTCAAGGGATCCAGAATTGCCAAAACAACCATGAAAAAAAATAAAGTTGGAGGACTCACACTTCCCAGTTTCAGAACTTAATGTAAAACTACAGTAGTTGAGACTGTGTGGTACCAAGGGCAGACGCACAGGGCAGTGGGCTAGAACTGGCAGGCCAGAAACAAACCCTCACCCTTAATGCTCAGTTGATTTCCAACAAGGGTGCCAAGACCGTTCACTGGGGAAATGATAATCTTTTCAACATGTGGTGCTGGGACAACTGGATACTTACATGCAAAGAATGAATTTGGAACCCTTCCTCATACCATACACAAAATTAAAATGAATCGAAGACCTAAGTGTAAGAGCTAAAACTGTAAAACTCTTAGAAGAATATATAGGAGCAAATCTTCAAGACCCTAGATTAGGCAGAGCCTTCTCAGGTACGATGCCTAAAGCACAAGGGATGGAAGAAAAAATAGATGAATTGGACTTCATCTGAACTGAAAACATTTATGCTTCAAAGGACACCATCAAGAAAGTGAAAAGACCACAGAATGGGAGAGAATATTTGCAAATCATACATCTGATAAGAGACTTGTAACTAGAATATACAGTCGGCCCTCCATAGTCACGTTCCACATCCACAGATTCAGCCAACTGCAGATCAAAGGCCTGTGATGGCTGCATCTGTACTGAACATGCACAGACTTCTTTCCCTTTCATTATTCCCTAAACAATCCAGTATAACACTATTAACACCGCATTAACATTGTATTCGGTGATGTGGGAGGATATGCGTAGGTTATATGCAAATACTACGTCATTTTATATGAGGAACTTGAACATCCACGGATTTGGGTGTCCGTGGGGGTCCTGGAACCAATCCCCTGTGGATGCTGAGGGACACCGGTATAAAGAACACTTAGAACTGAGCAATAAAAACACAACCCAGTTTTAAAATGGGCAAAGGTTCTGAAGAGACATTTCTCCAAAGAAGACATACAAATGCCCAATAAGCCCAGGAAAAGCCGTTGAGTATCATTAGCCATCAGGGAAATGGAATCAAAACCACAGTGAGATACCGCTTCATACCCACTAAGATGACTCTGCCAAAAAGACAGACAATCGCAAATCGGACCCCTCCTACGCCGCTGGGGATGTGAGATGGTGCAGCCACTGTGGGAAACACAGTTCCTCAGAAGGTCGAGCATGGAGTTACCGTATGACCCAGCAATTCCACTCCTGGGTGCACGCCCAAGAGAAGTGAACACATGACCGCTACACACACTCCCCGGAGCCCCAGCGCGCGAGCTGCGTGCTGTCACACAAGCCACGCTCTCCCGCTGAAGGACGTGTTCCTCCTCCTGAATCGATCTGCCCGCAGGAAGGGCCTCTGTCCCTCACTTGGCGAAAAACATTGGCCTGTGTTATTTCTAAAGGCTCTTTCCTTTCAAAGTCAGTTAAAAATGTCAAAGCCCTTAAGGAAAGTTAAGTTGCCTCAATTGGCGTTCTCATGTTTCTTTGTACCTCAGTCTTGGATGATTCTCCCGGAAAGGGTTGTATTTTCACCTTGTGTTGTCTGAGGGTCTGAGCCTTGACATTAAGCTGATGAGCGCTTTGTTTCATTTCCCTTTGGTGAGAATAGTCAGTACCCTTGCTACGGTGAATTAGGTGTAATTTCTGGCTGTTGATTGAGTAATGGCTCTAATTAAAATATTTCTCCAGCATTCGAAGGGCTATGAGAATGGCATGCACAGACTCAGGCTGCAGAAGCACGTCTTAATGGAGAAGAACAAGCCTCTGGTGAGTCAGGCACAGATGCCGCGGAGTCGAAAGTCACAGCCGCTGCCTCGGTGACATCCAGGGTCTCAACAAAATTGGGCCTCGTGGTTCTACAGTAAAATTTGAGTTTGCCCTTGTTAGACTTCTTTGGCTAGCAAGCTAAGCTTATTTTAAGCTTTTCAATCAAATTTGAAAGGGACTCATTCACCAACTCTTTGCCAGCATTCAGTGTTGCAGGCACTGCCCCAGGTTCGGCCACACCACGAGCATCATTCACAATGTCTCCCCTGCTCCTGTGGAACTCACGTTCCAGGGGATGGGGTCAGGGTACAGACAGAACACCTGCTGTAAATGCCAGGAAGACAGAGCCTGCCAAGAGAGGGTGAGCTGCCCCAGGCCTGGTCTCGGGAGCCTTCCCTAGGCAGGTGGCATCGTATCCAGCTGTGAGGGAGTGGGGGGACGGGTCTGCATGTACCTGGGCCAAAGGGGTTTCAGGTAGAAGGAGCGCAGGGTGGGCTGGGAGTATGAGATGGGACCAAGAGATAACATAAAAAGTCATCTTCCAGCCCTCTGTCCGTCCACTCCACATTGTGTAGAGGAGGAAACTGAAGCACGGAGGTACTCAGTTACCTGCCTGTCCTCCTCGGAAGTGGGGAGGCCGCAGTGTAGCCCAGCGGTCTCCCACCACACCTGGGCCTTCCCCCACCCCTTCCCTTTCAGGAAACTTCCAAGAAGTTTCTCGTGTGGCTTCTGCGTGGCTCACTGCACTGACCCACAGGGGCATTATAGATTTGGTTTTAATCATTGAAATTACAACTTATTTTCTTTTTAAATCAGCTTAAAGGATAAATGCACTAAACAGTCTTCTTGCTTTTTTTTCTTCATTGCCTAAGGAAATTTATTTGTGGTGGTTGAAATAATGGAAGAGGGGAAAATGATGTCTCATACATCTCAGTCCTTGGATTTTAGGGAAATTCAACTGAAATGCTTTAAAATTGGATCCCCACTTGGCAGAGAGCAGAGAGAAAAGCAGGCTCTCTGGGGTCTTTTCTTATAAGGGCACTAATCCCATCATGAGGGCTCCACCCTCGTGACCAGAGGCCCCACCTCCAGGTAGCATCACAATAGAGATTGGGGTTCAACATATAAATTTTGGAGGGCCACAAATATTTGCTCTGTAGCATCAGGTCTTAATTGATGTCCGCGTGGCTGGAATTCCTCTCCAGTTGTTATCAAAGACCTAGTTTTCCATTTGAGGCAGAACCCCAGCCCTGTGTTCTGGTGTAGTTACTGCCTAGTAAAGCTAGCCCTGTCTCCTGAGTATAACTTCTCTTCCCTTTTCTATTCCTTCTATGAAGGTCTATTTACCAGCATGTCACCAGAGAGACGGTTATAGTTAGAAGCCCTGGCAGGTCTTATTTCAGGCCTGGCCATACCACAGGCTGACCTTGATGTGGACATGACCAGGCAGGTGTTGGCCCTTGTCGATCGGTGTCCCCTTTCAGCCAGCCCCTGCAAAGGCCTCTGAGCACTAACGAGGCTTTGGTGCCTTGCTCTTTTGTAGCAGGAGCAGCTCATACACTGGAAGTGGCTCTTGGGTCAGCAGGCAGGATGTCCCACAAGTTTTGCAGGACACGCCGGTGTCCCCTTTCCCAGACTTACCCAGCTCAGAGCCACTGGGCTCAGAGCTGAGCGGTACCCAGTCCCCTGATCGCTACCGCTTTTCAGATAGTACTGCTTAATTCTCCTGTGTGCCAGACGTGATTCTTAATGACTTAATGAGGAAATGCACAAAGAAAGGAGGTGGGCGAGGCGGAAATATGAATGGAGAGAAAGCGGCTCTGGCATCACTTAGCCACGTGCTGGACCCGCATCTGTCCTCATGGGAGGAGTCACAGGATTTTGCAGAGTTTTAGTTAGTATTTCCTTAAAACACGTGAATGCTAATGATTTAAAGCAATGACTAAGGTGAGATTGTTGTCCAAGATGTCCCCAGGACTTTCCGTGGAGCAGCTCGGTCGTTAGGAACTGTGGCCTCGCTGCAGCAGATGGACTACTGGGTAACACCTCTTCTTCTCTTTTTCCTGTCACTGGGACTCGTCTCCAGGACCCAGAGATGCAGTGCTTGCTGCTGTCAGATGGGAAGCATTCTGCCCACCAGAACCACACCATCGTTCTCCCGGCCGACGCCGGGAGCGGTGTGGCGGCCATCAGCTTCACAGGGGCCCTGAAAATCCCCGTGAGTACTCGTGCCTGGGGAGAGTCTCAAAACGGGGCACCTGTGCTTGCTGTGAAAAGAAACGGGCTTGTCAATAGTCAAGCTCGCAAAAAGGAATCCATGACTCTGTAGTCCAGGGGTTGGAAATTCACAGCATGACTGCAAATCTCAGCCTGGAGGCTCGGGATGACGGGGCTGCCGCGTTGTGTTTACCTCGTACTGTGTTTAAAAATGTTTGAAGTTCATTGTCTCCATTTAGAAGTTCAGAAATTTCATAAACAAATAGGGCTTCCCATCTTCACCTGAAAAACCAGAAAATCTGGCAGCCCTAGGCCTGCACCCCGCTGGCCAGGGCCCTTGAGGTGCGCCCCCTGCCGGGCCTGCCTGCCTGCCGCCCAGAGACCCTGAGTGTGAGCCCGGGAAGCACCGCCTTCTGCTCTGAGGCTTGGAGGAGCCAGCTCGGTTTCCTTTACCCTTTAAAGCACTTTTAGGAACACAGACCTGGTCTGACTGACCCGTGAGTGCTGGCAGGGAAGGAATGGGGTTGTGCAGAGACCAAAGAGAAGAAAGAAGCCACTCCTGCACACACAGGGCTGATGGTCCGTGGACTCTGGGCTTGTTCTTTGTTTAAAAACCAGGTGTGCTGGTCCATGGGGGGGGGCGGCTGGCCCAGACTCTGGACAGTAGGCATGGTACCTGCTGGGGTGGGGGATTGTGTGTGATCAGGGCAGGAAGGAGACTCAGGGGGCAGGTTATTCCCAACAGGGGTTGGGGAGGTGTGCAATGATGAGACTTCCTGTAGCTTTAGATTTTCTTTTATTAGATTCAGGGCTCCCTCAGCAGAGAATCTTGGGAGCTCTGTAAAAGGATGTTTAGAAGCTGTGTTGTCCTAACCCATGAGCCTTGGAGGGCAGCAGAGGCAGAGCACAGGAGCAGAAGCAGGTGGAGAGGAGAGAGCACACGTGGCCCCGTGGGCTGGGGTGGCCAGGCCTCGAGGACCACACGTAGAAACGTTGGGCCACTGCCCTCGCCTACCAGTATCCATAGGAACAAGTGTGGCTCCCACACCAGACAAGACTGGCTTCACTGATGCTCGCCCTCGGTGAGAAAGGGCAGAGGGAGCACAGACTCAGAGGCCCCCACAATTGTGTGGGGCTAGAAACGTAAATGGTATGACCTAGAACCTTAAAATAACATCACAGAAATGAAAGAACTTAGGAGAACTTCTGCTTTAGGACGACGTCCTGCCAGCGCCAGGGTAAACCTGGGCCCGCAGAGAACCCAAAGCCGGTCTCCGGCCAGTGGAGAAGCCTCCTGGAGTCACTGAAAAAGGTCTCTGTGGGCTGGCCCGTAGGAGATGCTGGTTTTAAATAAAAAGTTATTTGGCCTGACCATGGCCCTGCCGAGACAAGTGAGCAGGGTGTCCCAACCACTCTGAGCTTCCATTTCCTCATCTGTAATATGAGCTCAGTGCCTGGCGTAATGCCACACGTCCTGAGGACTCGACGAGACCCTTAAGGACAGCACTGAGTACAGTGGCAGGCCCAGGACAGGCGTGCAGATGTCACACAGCCTCATGCTGGGGTGTCTGCTGTGAAACACGAGCTCTTTAATTCCAAAATCCTTCCTGTGGGTTGAGCCTGTGTTCCTCGCTGAGTTTGCTGGACGCTCCTGTGCAGCTGCAGCATGGGAGGGGGCAGGGATGCGGTACCTGGTGTCATTCAAGTTCTCACTCCAGTTTCCCAAGCAGACATGAAATAAAACGCAAACAAACCTCGCAGCAGCCATCAATCCACACCACGATTTCCTCATGAAGGTGTGCCTTTCTCTTCCCGGTGTTGTCTGCAGCACCCACGGGCTGTTTAGCCCCAGGTGGGGTGCGGTCGTCTGTGTGTCTCACAGGGTGGTCAGAGTCGTTTGTTCCATGTGTTTCTGGGTCGCTGTATAATTTGCAGGGATTTCCATTTAAAGGGAAAAAGAAATCAGCATTGAATGCTCAGCCGCTGTGTGGCTCTGCACCATGCCCACGCTCCTTGAGAACGTAATAGCTGAGTGTTCAGAGCGATGTGCTGAGAGAATCAGATCAGTATGTGTTTTCGTTGACTGATCTGGTGTAAAGACATTGGGTTTCGACCTTCAGAGGTAGTCATGCGCTGTGGGGGTCTGTATTCAGTTTTCCAGTGATCTCACACCCTTAGGTTGCAGTGTACAAACAGCACTACCACGTGCTCCCTCCCTGCATGCAGCTAGAGGTGCTAAAACCAGACCAGAGATGCGGGCTGTTTTTGTGGGAACGAGGTAATTTGTAATGCTGTTATGGATTAAACAAACCTGCTGAGTACACGTGTGGGGCAGACACCGGCTCGCTGTCTCTTTCAGGGTGTGATCGAGTTCTCGCTGTGTCTGCTCTTTGCGAAGTTGGTCAGCTACACTTTCCTCTTTTGGCTGCCGCTGTACATCACCAATGTGGGTGAGTGTCTGCTGCTAGAAGCACAAACGTTGCGTTCTGGGCAGTGCTCCGATCCGAACTTGCTTTCCTCTGCTGGTTTCTGTAGCCGCGGAAGGGAAAGGCGTGCTGAGGCATGGTGCTCTGAGAGGCACGCTTCGAATCAAACATAATCAGTAGAAATGTACAGAAAAAGGATTCGGATATGAAAGTGTTATTACCGTAATAATAAGCTCAACAAAGTTTAAAGGGTGGACGTGTTAGGTCCCAGCTGTGGCTACCAGTTCGGTCGGGCTCTCCTATCTGGGGGCAGCCTGCATTTAAATTTAGGCTACATGGAACTTCAGGTCGTATCAGCCAGCAAGCAGCACTGGAGGCCCTGGGGATCTGAGATACTGCATGCTTAATAATCTGACCTGGAAAGTGCTTCTTGGGTATGAGCTCTAATTTTAAGGAGAGCTGACAGTTTGTCTTAGATTTCCGAAGTCCAGCAGGCGCTGAAGCTGTAGATTATGACAGAACGTCCCGGCTCAATTGTAATGTGCGCTCCCGTACTGTGTGTGGCCACAGCAGGAAGGATGAGACAAGGGACCAACAGTTCTTAGAGAAGAGATCCTTGAGTGTAGGCGTTGCCACCATGGCCAAAAGGACACGGGATGGCCAAGGAGGGCCCCACAGCTTCTGGGCCCCGGAGTCAGGGGTTTCGAGGAGAGAGAAAAGAAACCAGGGTCCCCAGGAGATGTGGACTCTGGTGAATGTGACGAAGAGGAGAAACTTGGAGCGCGGGGGTTTGCGGAGTGCAGACCTCATATCCCCAGCCGTGTCATAAGGCCAAGCAGAGCTGGACATGAACCAGGTGAGGAGGGCTGAATCTCACAGGGGTGGAAGTTGAGGAAGCAGCGAGGGGACCGGTCCACGTTAGCAGGGACAGCACCTGTGGGGGATGGGAAGACGGTAAGGAGCTCCCCAGGGCTTCCGAGCCTCCTTCCCTGTCCAGCACTCCAGTCTGTTAGGGCAGGCAAGCCACACGCAGTCTAGACAGAGGAGCCCTGGGTAGACAGGCACTGTACCTTCTTCCTTTGTTCCCCTGTGATTGCAAAAGGGGTGACATTTTTAGGACTCGGGTCCTGAATTGCTGGCATTTCCAGTCTGAGGGATTGTTGGAAAAAAACAAAGTCCCCTGTGCGTGCGGTTCAGGACACTAGGACAGGCTGGGCTTGATCAGCGTCCCCGATGCCTCCAAGTCTCCTCTCCCCTGCACTGGCCCTCCTCAATCCTCCTTAGAGCCCAGGGCTCGTGCAGTCCCACGGAGGCTCCTGAGCTGGGCGTCATGCAGCTTCGGCTCCTCATCTGCAGTGTGAGAAGCTTGCAGACCCTCCCAGACACAAAACCTGCGGTCAGATGGCTGTGTGACGGGGCGCTCTTCTAGTGCCAGAGCCTCTGCGGCAGCCTCTGTGCAGCATCTAACTTTCAGCCACCCCGAGGGGACACTAAGCCCCAGGTGGGATAATTAGTAGACTGAGCCAGGTGAGTCCTCATTTTCTGGTTAAGAGTGTCTGGTTTTCATCCTTGCTATGTGTCTACCCTCGCAGTGGACTGCTTTTTTTTCTTTTAATCTGAGTTAGCTAATAATTGCTACTTGGTTTAAATCATACTTATGAAACAAAAGAATGTTAGGCATGGGGCCGGCCCCGTGGCCAAGTGGTTAAGTTTGAGCGCTCTGCTTCAGAGGCCCAGGGTTTCGCTGGTTCTGATCCTGGGCGCGGACCTAGCACCACTCACCAAGCCACACTGAGGTGGCGTCCCACATGCCACAACCAGAGGCACTCACAACTAGAATATACAACTATGTGCCGGGGGGCTTTGGGGAGAAAGAAAAAAAAATAATAAAAGAAGATTGGCAACAGATGTTAGCTCAGGTGCCAATCTTTAAAAAAAGATGTTAGTGTAGATTTTACACATCTGTGACGTCCTCACTGACGCTCTGTTGTCATGTTAATAGATCACCTTGATGCCCAAAAAGCCGGCGAGCTGTCCACCTTGTTTGACGTGGGTGGGATCTTCGGTGAGTTCGTGGCCACTTGCTCTGCTCCGGGAGCCTGTGGCCTGGGGTCCCCTGGAGTTGATGAACTGCTGAGTGGAATGTGCTCCCCCCGGCGTCATGTCACCTGAGTGGGTGCACGGCCGCCACCCTAGGGAACATCCTCTTTCTACATCCTGAGCCCTGACTGAGCTGGAGCTAGCACTCCCTCAGAAATAGGAGTGTGCCTCCCATAGGCAGCAGACTGGTGGATTAGTACCCTGACAAGAAAGGAGCTTTGGGGCCAGCCTAGAACCAGACGCCAAGATTACCCCCCTAGTTTCACCGGGAGACGCCCCAGTCACTCAGGTCTGACCGCAGCCGCATAAGCCCGTGGGGAGGTCAGGCACCGGTGCAGCTGGGCGTCCCGCTAGTGGGGAGGTGGGGAGGGACTTGAGAGAGGAGAGGCTCCCCCTGCTGCTGTCGCATATGTCCCGCTTCCTCTCCATGGGATCTTGCCCTGGGGACCCGAGCCCCTTCAGGATCCACCGCTCTGCCTTGCAGGTGGGATCCTGGCAGGTGTGATCTCCGATCGACTGGAGAAGAGGGCCTCCACCTGCGGCCTGATGCTGCTGCTCGCAGCCCCAACGGTGAGCCCGCCCCACCCCTGCCCCGTCTGTGCCCCAGTGCTTCTGGAAGCAGCCGCCTCTGTCCTCCCCACCAGCAGACACTCTCCCATCAGGCCCGGGCTCAGCTCCCTTCGTGGCTCGCGGTTTCTGGGTACCAGCCATCGCCTCAGCACCCTGCTCATGTTCCCTTCGGGCCTGCATATCCCCAGCTGCCTCCAGGCCACCTCCACTCAGCCTCCCCATCCTGCCACACACTTGTAAGCCACCCTCTGCATGCACCGCTGCTTCTCATCATCCTTGGCTCCCACGTGCCTCTGCTCCCTTTGGGACGCCCTCCCCCTCCCACCCCCAGGCTCCTACTTGTCGGTTAGAATCCCCAGCTCCCTCCCTAGCTCCGCAGGCAGCCTTGACCCTACCCAGCATAACCAGGTTCATGCTGTTTTGTACACATTTAGTAGCACCTGACCTCAGGCAGCTACTTTGCCTCTCTGTGCCTCAGTTTCCTCATCTGAAAAACCAGGATGACAATAGCACCACCCCACAGGAGGAATGTGAGGATTAAATGAGACATTATTATAGCATTGCTGGGGTTTTTTGTTTTTAAAGATTGGCATCTAAGCTAGCACCTGTTGCCAATCTTTTTTTCTTCTTCTCCCCAAAGCCCCCCAGTACATAGTTGTGTATTTTAGTTGTGGGTCCTTCTAGTTGTGGCGCGTGGGACGCCACCTCAGCATGGCCTGGTGAGCGGTGCCATGTCCGCACCCAGGATCCGAAGCAGCAAAATCCTGGGCCACCAAAGCGGAGTGCACAAACTTAACCACTCACCTATGGGGCCAGCCCCTAGTGTTGCTGTTTTTATAGCGATAATATAAGTAATATTATTACTCCTCAGCTTGCGTTGGGGGTATCTGCCCATCTGCCACTCCACTAGGCTACGACTGTCCCTAGAACAAGGCCTAGTTTTCGGTCTTCTTGGGGCCTTGGACACTGCCCAACACAGACACTCAAAGGACCTTTGCTGGAGAGATGGCTGTGGTGGCCCCCTGCTGCGAGGGCTCCCGCTGCATCAGGTGCAGCTGTTCGGGGCGGCAGCCTGGGGAGGAAATCGTTAGACTGAGGCCCGGGGTCCAGGGAGGGCTGCCCCAACTGTGGCCACCTGCCGCAGGCGCTGCAAGTCGGGGGCGCCCCAGTGGGTTCCCAGCCCACCGAGTGCTGGATCTGAACCCGCGCTTCTGGGCAGCAACTTGCCAAGCCCTCCCCAGACGCCTGTCCTCAGCCAGCTGAGCCCAGGCAGCATGACCTGCCTTCATGTTTCGGAGTTTCCATTCTGGGGGGCTGCCTGGCTTGTCAGACATAGAGATTACCGGGCAGTCTGTCAGCTGCTTGTAGTAAACCACTGTTGTTACCCTGTTTCTACCCTGTTCACAGCTGTACATATTCTCCACCATCAGCAAAATGGGTCTAGAAGCCACCATCGGTGAGTCCATGGGGCCTTCTTTTCTTTCACACACAATTTTTGTCTGCACACTGTGGTGAAATGAAATAAAAAATCAAGAAAGAAGCATTCAGCTGATATAACTGAGCATATGATGTGGCTAAAACAGCCCCGGCGTCCCTCCGTGGGTGGGGCAGATTTGAGAGTGAGCGTGGGAGCGGGCAGACCACCTGGTCCCGGGCCGTGATGAGCCAGGAGCCACTCACAGAAGCCAGATGTCAGCTGGCAGGCAGCGGGAGGGCCTGGAGCAGCCTGAGACCTGCAGCGCTGGCAGGTGCGGGCCGGGGCAGGGACGGGGCAGGGACGGGACAGGGACGGGGCAGGCTCCAGCCACCTCCCAGCTGGCTCCTGTCAGCCACCATTCTGGGAGCAGCCGCGTAACCCCGCAGGACTATTTTTAACCTCCTGCAAGCAATGCTGTCAAATCATGGCTTTGATACTTAGTAAATGCTTGTCCTGACCTGACAAGCCAGAAGTGTGGATTAGAAGGAGTCGGGGCTGGTGTGAGCCATTAGAAGCTACCCAGAAGGCAGGTTGCTGCTGTGCGAGGACTGTGGAGTTTCCTGCGACCCCTCGGTCCAGGCGCTTCTGCACAGAGGAATGTGAACCCGAGGAGAGTTTGGGAACGAGCCTAGAGGACGGTTTAGGAAAGTGACTGTGTTTCCAAATCAGGCACAGTTGTCCTGCCTGCAGGAACTCAGCTGCGCTGGGTCTCCAGGTTTCCCATGAGGGCTGCCGTCTGCACCTGTGGGTGCAGAGACGCGACACCACAACAGGGAGCGCTCGCTCACCCAGTCACGGCTGTTCTCGGTGCGCCGGGCTTTTTGCTGCCTCTCGCTCTGTCGGCAGCTGCTGCCCGTTGAGGGTCGAGGAACCAGAGGCCCAGGTCCTCTGAGCACAGCCTGAGTCTTTGAGAAAGTGTGAGTGGACTCACAAAGCACATCCTGGGGCCAGTTTAGAGGAGGACACTCCTGACACTTGCCCTGGCAGTTGCCACCCCCAGGATGTGGGGCTGCTGTCCAGCACCCGCCTGCATCCACTCAGGCCAGGACCCATGCATGAGACCAGGTGCCCCCACCTAGAGGGTCTCTGAGACCGTGGGGGCTCTCCGGGGGTGCCGTCTGTGCACTAACTCCCTTCTGGTTTCTGGTTTCCACAGCCATGCTGCTGCTCAGCGGGGCCCTGGTCAGCGGGCCATACGCACTGATCACGACCGCCGTCTCTGCCGACCTGGTGAGTAGCCGCACGTCTCAGCACAGAGCCGGGGGGCCGAATGCTGGCCGCAGTGGTCACCAATTCCGTTCGTGACAAACGATGGTCTCTATTGGTAGAACTGTGCATTTACATAAGCACCTTTTTTGGTGGTGGCTGGTGTGTGTGGTGAGAGTCCTCTGAAGTGAGCAGGAGAGATGGCAGCCCCTGCTCTGTCAACGAGGGGCCGAGAGGAGAGGAAGGGGCTCATCAGAGGCCAGCAGCCTGGCTCACTCCTCCGAGCTGCCCATGCTCAGCCCCAGAGATGGGTGACTGTGCACCCCAGGGACAGCCTGCCCACGGTGCCTCCGCAGCGTGAGCTTGGCTCCTCCCCTTTGTCCCGCCCTCTCTGGGTGCCTTGGGGACTGCAGAGACAAGCCAGATGGGGAACTGGCCCTGGGAGGACATAGTCCAGAGAAGGAGCTGGCATGTTAAAGACGTAGTTAATGCACAGGATGGTAGGCGCCCATGCCACATGGCAGGAACCACCCGGGGCCTTGGATCCACAGGAACTACGGACCAGCCCTTCCTGGAGGAGGGGCTGTGGGCAAAGTGATGCTCAACTCGTGGTCGGGGCCATCTCGTCTGCCTGACGTGAGAGACAGACACTTCACACATGGTCAGGTGCGGGCGTCTGGAGGAAGACTGCGCTGGGTACGGAGGGCCCTTTGAAAAGGCGGCTTCCCTAATTACAGGGGAGAGGAGACAGGTCTCCACACAGCAGGGTTTGTGCGGCTCCCCCGTCCACAGAGAGGCAGCACGCCTGCCCTGTCCCAAGGGGTGGGCTGTGCGTGGCGCCTCCCGCAGTGGACAGCGTAGGGAGGACGGAGCCTTGTCGAGTGGAGAGACCTTACACAACGCTCCGCCAGGGGTCACGTCCTCAGCCATGGTGACAGGCCACGTGGACAGCCTGGGCCTGATGTGGTGAGAAGGGCACCTCACCTCTGTGGACAACAGCCCACACACCCGTCTAATCATGAGGAAAACACCTGACAAATCCCAAGTGGGGGACATTCGACTCCTCAAAACTGTCAAGGTCAGCAGAAACCAGGAAGTCTAAGGAACTGTTAAAGCCGGGAGAAGCCTCAGGAGGCACGACTACTAAGGGTCGTGTGGCTTTCTGGAGGGGGTCTTGGAGCAGAAAGACTGAATTAACACTGGATAAAAACCCAGGAAATCTGGATACAGCATAGACTTTAGTTAATGTTGATGCATCAATGCTGGGTCATTAATTACGTCAGAAGAGCGTACCGCAGGGAAAGTGGGTGCGGGCCAACTGCAGCTCTGTAAGCCATCTTTGCAAGTTTTCCATGAATCTAAGACTATTCTAACTTGCAAAGCTTATTTAAAACCAAAGCACTTCACCAAAAGTGGTTTCTAGACTCCTGGCAGCATGGCGGGCCTCTCGGCCATCCGGTCCAGCACTCCCCCGACTCCCGGGTCCCCTGGAACTTTCCTGCGGCTCCAGTGGTCTCCCCCTCTTCTGCATCTCTCTGAAGTCCTTCCAGAATCAGACCCTGACTCCCAGCCCTCAGCTTGCTCTCCTGTTTACAAACAGCAGGCCAGCTCCGCTGTGCCCGTGCCTGCCCTGTACCCCTTCTCTCAGGGCTGCGGGCAGCGTGATGCCTGACACCCGGCCCTGTTGGAGCATCCAGCGGCCCTCGTCCGCTGTCCTCAGCATCTCGACTCTCTCCCCTGCAGAGCACTGGGGGCCTCGTCCGGATGGGGCAGAGAGGCTGGCGAGCTGGGCTTTTCTTGACTTTTTTCCGCCAGGTGGCTGACTTATAGCACAGCCCACCTTTATGTCAAGAGAGTGCTCAGACCCCCTTTATGAAGCGTGTCCATGCTCCTGTCGGGGCAGAGAAAATTCTGGAAAAGTCCACACCAGACCAGCAGCAGTGGTCTGCCCCCATGGGCTTAGAGGGTAGAGGAGGGACTTTCTCTTCTTCTTTAGACCCCAGAAAACATGGATTAGGGGTGATTATTAGTTTGCATGTGTGCCTTATTTTACATTATATAGCTGTGTATACACAAATGTGCACACGTTTATTTTTACAAGCTTTGGTTTATTTTTATGGTTTCGGTTTCCAGACGCTATTTTTCCTGATTTGTTTTTTTCCTTTGGTTGTCCTCAGTTGGCGCATTTTTTCCCCAGCCTCACATGTGTGGCTTTTTGGAAACCAGAGCACCTTTAAGATTTGCACTGCCTCCGTTGGTTTCTTGGGTCCTGCCCTCTTCCCATCCTCCCCAGCATTTGCCATTAATCGGGTTGACTGTTAGACACTGCAGAGCTGTCTAATGTGTCACAGAGGGCCCCTCGCAGAAACGTGAACGTGGGCGTTGATGCTGGCACGGCAGAGGGACGGACACGAGTTTTCATTGTCTTCTTACCCTCCACGTTGGCTGGTGTGGTGCCTCGGTGAAGAGGACGACTGTGCTGAATAAATATTTGTTTATTTGAAGAGAATTATAAGAGTCCTTTAAAGTATGCTTGGACAAGTATTTCTGATGGTTTTTGACTTTTTGATTAAATACCCTTGAAACTTTGCATATCTTTCCGTGGTGAGTGTGGAATGGAGTAGAGCTTAAATTTCCTACTGGAAGGCATCCCCTGTTTCGAATTGCTCTGCACGGTTATTTGAGTAAACCGTCCTGTGGGAGGTGTAGGTTTGTTCCTCTCTGTAATGCGGCCGGGGCCTGTCTCATGTTCGTTCCCCCTCTCTTCCAGGGCACCCACAAAAGCCTGAAAGGAAACTCCCACGCCCTCGCCACTGTGACGGCCATCATCGACGGCACCGGCTCTGTAGGTACGTGGGTATGTGTAGTTCTGAGAGGTTAATTGTGGTCATGGGGAAACCACGTTGTCACATCCTAATTAATAGATGCCAAGGATTCCAGTTGCTTTGGTAATATTAGGATGGGCTGGCCTTTTCACACTATGAGCAGCTGAAAAGTGTATGCAAACCTGGGGAAATGGGCATGTGAGCACCATCTGTCCTGTGTGATCGGATGATTCCAGAGATGTGGGCATATGGCTGGTTGGAACAAGCTTGCCTCAGTGTGAAAGAATGTGTGCCCAGGTTTTCATGTAAGCCACGACTGGCCAACTACAGCCTATGGCCCACCGTTCACTGTTTATCACTGTCATCTCAGGAGGACAGAATCTTATTTAAATATAAATGAGAGGGAAACTAACGGGTCCCAAAGCACACAGGATTTTGAGTGTTACTAGCTTCATTCAGGTTCTTGGAGAGAATTCAGTAGTATATTCTGAATTAAAGATAGGTGGCAAATAAGCCTCTCCTCCCCTCAGAAACGGGCAGGTGGGAACAGGTAAACCGCCAAGCCTGTTCTTATCAGTGAGTCAGAAGGCTGATGGCGCCGTCCTTGGCCTTTCAAGCCTTCGTGCAAGGATGTCCCTGCCAGAGATCCTGAAGCCGCCGTACAGGCCCCTGTCCTGCACCAGCTTCTGCCGTCATCGGTTGTCCCTCTCTGGATACGGGAGACCAAAGCTCGGGGGATGGCTCATGTGGCTCCCATGGCTCATCAGGAGGATGCTGAGTTGCAGCCTGGTCACCTGCTGCCCCAGGCTCCCTACCCAGGGGGACAGTGAGAGAGGGCAGACAGGTAGAGACAGGCACCCAGGGGTCTGGGACACTCTCATAGCAGAGAAACCAAATGCTTGCCGGACAAAGGCGGCTCAGTGAGAACAAGTTGCGCGGAGCCTGGCACGTGGGGCTGGCTTCTGCGCCACTGTGGGAAGCTGGGCTTTCCTCTTGGCTCTTCCCGTGGCCTCTGGGCCAGCCGCAGAGAGAGATCCACATCCGTTTGCGGACACCGACTGCTGTCTTAGTGCAGAATCCAAAGTCCTTCCCACCACTCTGCCCTCCTCACCGTCACAGCCATTCACTGTCACAGCCTGACGGCCCCCCCGCTGTTCCTCAGAAGCACCCGGCCTGGTCCCCGTGTGGGACATTTGCACGGGTGTGCCCTGTGCCTGAGAGGCTCCCCTCACAGGGAACCTGATGCCATGTGCCCTTGTGCCCTCGGAGTCTTTGCTCAGATGTCACTCTCTTAGCGAGCCCTGCTCGACCCACCCTGTCTGGGAGGCGTGGACCCCTCCCCCTAACCCCACCTCAGGGCTACTCTGCCCTGGGCTGCTCTCCTCCACAGCACCTCCACCGTGTGCTTTGTGTCATCTTCTCTCCCTGCCACGTGGGAGCTTCCCGAGGACAGGAGCCCAGTTTGTTCTCTACTGGATTCTCAGCTCCTAGACAGTGCCGGGAGCTCAGGAGGTGCCCAGTGAGTGAGCGCAGCTGCCCCAGACACCTGGACTGCACAGGGGCCGGGCTGGGAGCGCAGGAGGTGCCCAGTGAACGAGTGCAGCTGCCCCAGACACCTGGACTGCACACGGGCCGGGCTGGGAGCGCAGGAGATGCCCAGTGAACGAGTGCAGCTGCCCCAGACACCTGGACTGCACACGGGCCGGGCTGGGAGCGCAGGAGGCGCCCAGTGAGTGAGTGAGTGCACCTCTGGGTCACAGGAACCCCAGGTCCATGCTCTTGCTGCCACTCGCGGGGGCTCTGCTGCCTGCTTCACAGGCAGGCCCTGCTTGTTCTGGGCAACACCAGACAAGGCCGCTGTGCTTCAGAAGGCGAGCTCAAGCTTCTGCTGTTCCCCAGTCTCACCAGCCCTGTTTCTGTCCTCGGCATTGGTTCCTTCATTTCGCTGGTCCCAGGAGTCACTGTGAGTTTGCTGCACAGTGTTCGTGTCACCCTTCTGATGTTTAAAGTGAGACTTTCCCTGCCAGGGCCCTCTCGGGGCCTGCACACATGTCAGGGAAGGAAGACAGTGCTGTGCCGGGACGGGCATCTGCAGGCAACACAGCTCTCCCCGTGTGGGGCAGGTCGCTGCTCTCCCAGCTCACGTAGCACACGAGAACCTTCCACAGCCTGGAAGACACACTCAGTCAGAAGTCAGGAGACTCCTGGGCTGAGTTCGGTTCTCATGCACTGTGTAACCAAACACCCTTCTCTCTGCCTTCTGTCCCGCAGAGGCCTTTGTCTGAGTCAGTCCAACTCCACTGTCAAACCCTTTTCTTAAAGCAAATTTGGAGCTCTGCTGGTGGCCCTGGTTGCTATTTTAAAGCAGAAGATGGGAGTTTAAAAAGAGGAAAATTATGAATTATGTGAAAAAAACACCTTTTTCTTGATATTCTTTTCAAAACAAGGGGGATAACCTCTAAACAAACAGAGCAGAGACACAAATTGCAAATAAGGAGAAAACTAAGGAAAACCAGCATAGAAAACTACCTACTTGAATTGGTAGTCCAAAATACATGGGACGAGAAACAAAGGAAAGGCAGGAGAACCAGAAACCAAGCGATAAAATGGCAGCATTAAGCCCCTACATTTCTATAATCACTCTAAATGTAAGTGGATTGAATTCTGCAATCAAAAGACACAGAGTGGCAGGATGGATTAAAAAACAAGACCCAACAATATGCTGCCTCCAGGAAACACACCTCAGCCCCAAAGACAAACACAGACTCAGAGTGAAGGGATGGAAGACGATACTCCAAGCTAATAGCGAACTTAAGAAAGCAGGTGTCACCATACTCATATCAGACAAAGCAGACTTCAAGACAAAGCAAGTAAAGAGAGACAAAGAGGGGCAGTGTATATTGGTAAAAGAGACCGTCCACCAAGGAGACATAACACTTATAAATATATATGCATGCAACACAGGAGCACCAAAGTACATAAAGCAACTATTAACAAAACTAAAAGAAGATATCAGCAACAATGCACTAACAGTAGGGGACCTCCACACACCACTAACACCAACGGACAGATCATGCAGACAGAAAGTCAACAAGTAAATTGTAGAATTAAATGAAAAGCTAGACAGATGGACTTTATAGATATATGTAGAACACTCCATCCAAAAACAGCAGGTTACACATTCTTCTCAAGTGTGCATGGAATGTTCTCAAAGATAGACCATATGTTGGGAAACAAAGCAAGCCTCAATAAATTTACAAGGATTGAAATAATATCAGGCATCTTTTCCAACCATAATGCTATGAAGCTAGAAATCAATTACAAGAAAAAAGCTGGGAAAGGGGAAAAGATGTGGAGATTAGACAACATGCTACTGAATGACCAATGGATCGTTGAAGAAATCAAAGGAGAAACCAAATATTATCTGGAGACAAATGAAAATGAAAACACACCGTAGCAACTCATTTGGAATGCAGCAAAGAGGTCCTAAGAGGGAAATGCATTGCAATACAGGCTCACCTCAACAAACAAGAAAAATCTCAGACAAGCAATCTCAAACTACACCTAACAGAATTAGAAAAAGAAGAACAAAGTCCAAAGTCAGTAGAAGGAGTGGAATTATAAAAATTAGAGCAGAAATAAATAAAATTGAAACAAAAAAGACAGTAGAAAGGATCAATGAAACAAAGAGCTGGTTCTTTCAGAAAATAAACAAAATTGACAAACCCTTAGCAAGGCTCACTAAGAAAAAAAGAGAGAAGACTCAAATAAATAGAATCAGAAATGAAAGTGGAGAAATTACAATGGGCACCACAGAAATATAAAAGATTATAAGAGAAGGTTATGAAAAACTATATGCCAACAAATTGGACAACCTAGAAGAAATGGATAAATTCTTAGACTCTTACAACCTCCCAAAACTGAATCAGGAAGAAAGAGAATCTTAATAGATTAACCAATCACAAGTAAAGAGATTGAAATAGTAATCAAAAACCTCCCCAAAAATAAAAGTCCAGGACCAGACTGCTTCTCTGGAGAATTCTACCAAACATTCAAAGAAGATTTAATACCTATCCTTCTCAAGCTATTCCAGAAAATTGAGGAAGATGGAGTACTTCCTAACACATTCTATGAGGCCAACGTCACCCTGATCCCAACACCAGATAAGGACAATACAAAGAAGGAAAACTACAGGCTAATACCACTGGTGAACATAGATGCAAAAATCCTCAACGAAATATTGGCAAACCGAATACAGCAATACATTAAAAGGATCACACACCATGATCAAGTGGGCTTTGTACCAGGGACACAGGGCTTGGTCAACATCCACAAGTCAATCAATGTGATACACCACATTAACAAAATGAGGAACAAAAACCACATGATCATCTCAATAGACACAGGAAAGCATTTGACAAGATCCAACATCCATTTTTGATAAAAACTCTCAATAAAATGGGTATAGAAGGAAAGTACCTCAACATAATAAAGGCCATATATGACAAACCCACAGCCAACATCATACTCAGCGGATAAAAACTGAAACCCATCCCTCTCAGAACAGGAACAAGACAGGCGTGCCCACTATCACCACTCTTATTCAACATAGTACTAGAGGTCTTGGCCAGAGCTATTAGGCAAAAAAAAGAAATAAAGGAATCCAGTTGGGCAACGAAGAAGTGAAACTCTTGCTGTTTGCAGATGACATGATCTTTTGTATAGAAAACTCTTAAAAAATCCATCAGAAAGCTATTAGAAGTAATCAACAATTACAGCAAAGTTGCAGGGTACAAAATCAACTTACATAAATCAGTAGCATTTCTATACTCTAATAATGAACTAATAGAAAGAGAACTCAAGAACACAATCCCCTTCACAATCACAAGAAGAATAAAATATCTTGGAATAAATTTAACCAAGAAAGTGAAAGACCTATACAATGAAAACTACAAGACTTTCCTGAAAGAAATTGATGACAGCATAAAGAGATGGAAAGACATTCCATGCACATGGATTGGAAG